ATCAATGACGAGAGCTACATCCTCACTTTCGTGGAAGCAAACTCACGCTACGTCTGGGTAGCCAATGTTGACACTCGCGCGAAGGCAGCCGGAGTATTCCGGGTCTAACTAGCTCAAGCGCAGCGAGAATCGAGAAAGAAGCTGAAAATATGGCAGACGGACGGCGCATCCGAATTTTGCAGCAACGAGCTGCAGAGATTTTTCACAGAGAAAGGGATCATGCAACACATCTCACTCCCCTACAATCACCAGCAGCAAGGCGTTGCCGAGCGTATCAACCGCACTCTCATGACAAAAGTGAGTGCGCGGCCTTCCCATAAAATACTGGCCCTATCCCATGCACCACGCCGTAAGGCTACACAACCTTCTATCCACCACCGCCAACGGAGGAAATCTCTCATCTCATGTGAAGTGGACCGGGACCAAGGGCGACACCTGGGGCTGCATGGTGCAATACATGCCAACTTCTGCTACCATCGGCAAGTTTACCGATCGTGTGCGCTGGGGGATTCACCTTGGGATTAGCTACGAATACAAGGATTGGTTGATTCTGGACCCGAACACCAACAAGATCGCACCTGCGCGAGACGTCCTCGTCTACGAACGCCTCACCCTCGCAACTTACCTTGAAGATCGGCGAGTAGGAGCAACACGGGCCTACACCAACAACGGCAGGAGCTTCGCCTCTCCTGAAGACGAGGCTGCAGCTGCAGCCCTCGACCGCAACCCCACCAATGAACACCCCATCGTACCTCCTTGCCCACGCGATGATGACGACGCTGGCGATGATGACGACAGCGCGCCCGGACCCTCACGCCGCCACGACCCTGCAAGCAGCGCTCCGCTCGCGCACGAAAGCGACGACGACGACGTGGTTGAAGTAATCACTCAGGAGCACGGTGCTGCGAACGTTACGGGCCTACAACTACTCAGCCTACACACCGCCACGGCCACCGCTCCGCACGCTGTGTCAGAATAAGCAGGCAGAAAGATAGAACACGAAAGAGGGTTTGCACTAGCAAGCAGTTGAGTACATATAGGAAACCCTTAATTGGGCTGTACTCGCTATAGAGTACCCCACTGCAGGCTAGACAAATACAACATTCTGACACACCCCCATAGCCAAAGTGGGGTGTAATCAGCACAATAAGCAGGCAGAGCAATAGTTCACAATGATAAGCACAGCTAGAGACTATCACAGAGGGCAAGTGAGGAGGAGGAGGGACTGTGGGGGCGAGTAGATGGGAGGCGACGGCTGAAGCTGCAGACACACTGTAGCGGCTGGCTCAGTGGCTACCGAAGCAATGGCCCGGACTTTAGGAGTAACTGGCTTCGCGGCTACGCCGAGCGGGTGGAGCAACTGACCCACGGGCGACTGGCGACTACCGGAGATTGTAGCCTCCGGACTACTGGCGCTGCGGACGACAAGACGGTTGCCTCCACTCAACCTCCCCCAGCTGTCCCACACCCTTTTCACACACCCCCTGCTGTTCCCCTAGCACTGCTCACACGCCACCCCCCTAGTACCACTCCAACGACTCCCACACATCCACCCCCCCTCAGCGGCAGCTGCAGCAGTGGGAGACGGAGGAGGAGGAGGAGGAGGAGCAGGGGACGGCGCACACACCCGTCACCCCCATACTCGCCACCCCCAAACCCTAACACAGGCAGCACGGGGCAGGAGCGCGGGTAGCGGGCGAGCGGAAGCGGGGCGGCGCGCTGGTCCCTGGGGCGCCTCGACGGGCGACGGGAGGGGGCGACGCGCGGGCCCCCGGGGCGCCTCGACGGGCGATGGGAGGGGGGGGGGACGCGCGGGCCCCCGGGGCACCTCGACGGGCGACGGGAGGGGACGACAAGCGGGCCCCCAGGGCGCCACGACGGGCGACGGGAGGGGGCGACGCGCGGGCCCCCTGGGCGCCACGACGGGCGACGGGAGGGGGGCGACGCGCGGGCCCCCAGGGCGCCACGACGGGCGACGGGAGGGGACAGCGCGCGGGCCTCCGGGGCGCCACGACGGGCGACGAAACCGCCGCGCGCTCCCGGGGCGCGCGGCGGGCAGGAAACCGCCACGTGCCCCGAGCGCGTGGCGGGCAGAAAACCGCCGCGCGCCCCGAGCGCGCGCCGGGAAGAAAAAAACGCCACGCGCGCAGGGTGCGCAGCAGGAAGAAAACGTCGCGCGCCCGGGGCGCGCGATAGGCAGGACAACATCGGAAGCATAGGGTGGGCCCACCCACAGGATCGACCAGGGAGGGTCGACCTGCTCTGATACCATGTCAGAATAAGCAGGCAGAAAGATAGAACACGAAAGAGGGTTTGCACTAGCAAGCAGTTGAGTACATATAGGAAACCCTTAATTGGGCTGTACTCGCTATATAGTACCCCACTGCAGGCTAGACAAATACAACATTCTGACACGCTGTCGAGCACAAGAACCCACCACAAGCCCTGACCGGCCCCCATGCCAAGGAGTGGCGTGCAGCCATGGACGCGGAGCTACGGGCGCTGGAATCATGGGACACCTGAGTCCTAGTCGATCGTGCAGCAGTGAAGGGGAGGAGGGTGCTATCAGGAAAATGGGTCTTTCATCTGAAAACTGGCGCCGACAGAACTATCGAGCGCTTCAAGGCGAGGTGGGTCATACGCGGGTACGATCAGCGCCATGGGATCGACTTCGATCAAAACTTTCGCTCCCGTGAGCCGCCACACCCTAGTGCAGATTCTACTCGCTATCGCCGCCGCTAACTGTTTCCACGGACACAATAAAGGGGAGGTGGAAAGTGAAAACTCTCTGAACCTGATACGCAATGTTGACCGATCTTAAACAAATTACACAGTACATCAAGTTAATGTAAGCATCGAAAACGTTACTGTCATACAGATCCTAACCGTAATACAGTTGTAGAATACGGAATGCATCCATATTGGAATATTGCTAGTTACGAATTGCATATTTATTCGTATGTATTCGTTTATTCATTCTTACGTACAGTATATGTAACAAGGTTTATTGTTAATATTACGATGTCGTACCAAATTCTTACAATACCCGTACTATACCTAAGTTATCACATTATACTTTCAATCTTGGTGGCTGTATCGACGCATATAATAATGCTGTTATTTATATTATGCGACATTGAACTGGATATTCATTTTCTTGTCTGGAATCTATTGGGCCCATTCCAAGTGTCATCTGAACAACTTTTGTGGATTCATCCTCTGGATTTTGAGAAGAATTATAATAAAGAAGGACCTCATAGAACATGTATAAAAGAAATATAATTTGTTGAAGACAAGATTGAAATATATATCATATAACACTTGTGTAATGGATACAAATTTGAGAAATGGAGAATATAAATGGTCTAATTAATAATAATATGGCAGCCAAATTTATGATGAAGGAAGTGACACATAATAAATTGCCTTAGGTTCATGGAATTACCTTATAGTGTGAAAGTAGGGAGTGGCATAAACGGTGAATAATTGTACATAAGCAGTGTCGCGGAGTGAAAATATTGTGGACCGGGTGTATCAGTATTGCTGGGCTGGTGTGAAACGGCCCGTCAAATCTCAGGTTGCACGCATGGGTTGAAAACGCGCGCGACAGACAGTTCAGTCGGAATTGCACGAGAAGTTTGACGCGCAGAGGACATCGGCTCGGCAGCAAACAAGGTCAACAGATTCACCTGAGGCCAAATATATATATTTTCCGTCTGCATGTACCCTGAACAATTTCAATTCCTACTTTGCGACGAACGCGGTAATTCACATCATCGAACACAATGTCCGGGTCCTTGAGTAGCAACTCAAGTTTTCACCAATCAACCCCCTTCCTATGGTGCCATTGCTAGTTTTTATAAACTCGCGAAATCTCACAAGGCATTTGTATGATATGTTCAGGCTAGTGCCTTGCCGCGCTAGCCAGCGGGAAGTCCAAAACGGAGTGCAATAGCCACTGCTCAGTGCCTGCTCCCACATATCCAGCCACGAAGACTTTCGATATTTGTTGTGTACACTGTACAAGAACGTCTGTCCAGTGTCACTTGCCTGGTCAAAGACATCTTGGCGCGTCGTGGAGAACGGACAGCACGACCGGGAAAAAATACTGTACGGGTCAGGAAGGGTGGGCAGAGACGTACAGTATTTCGTGGGGTAATGCACACTGCTGTACAGCACCCAAATTCAACTGAGGAGGCTTTTCCAATATTTGTGCAATACAAAAAGGTGACTGTAGAGAACTGCAATAATAGTCTGTGGAATCAATCGAATCACAGCAAGAAACTCGTCGTTTGTCAGCTCCTCCTTGCTCATTTCTCAAATCACACTCCTCGCAACACCAGTTCTCAGAACGCCAGCCTACATGCCAGCTTTGCTATCAAAAGGCTGAAGAGGCTTGTTGGGTGAGGAGAGTGATAGTTAGGGCGTGTCCAGCGCGTAAATTTACAGTTCATAAACCCGTTCGGTTACCACATTTTCTTTTGTAACACTGCATTTTACAAAAAGGTTGGACAAGATCAGCTTCCGTACACAAAACGGCACGCCCGCTGCACGTACGACGAATCGTCTAACACACGTTACTGGAATGAGTGTACGCGCGAACAATGATACAGCATTGCGTCCTGCCCGCTACAGTAATTTTCGTTCAAGCGAGGAATTTTCGCTTGTGCGTGAATTTCTGTGCGATGATAGACGAGGCAAACAGTTACCTCGTTTTCCACGAACTGTAGAAATTTGTGTGCAGAGGGTTGTGTCCGCGCGCTGGAAGGCCCACTCCTTCGGACTCGACTTGCCTTATATTCGTTTTTTTGGTACAGTGAGATATTTTGAGCCGGGAAACGTGTGAAGGTACTAATATTCCCAAAATGTACGCGCTGGACACGCCCTTAGTCTAACCCATCTCTCACGTTCAAGATCCACATGTGTCTCGCCTCAGCAACTGAACATCCTTACCTTCAAAGACCACCACCCTCGTGCAGCCCCCACAATCAGCCGTAGGCATGCCAGCTGCAGAGTCGTCCAATCCCGTTATAGTCCTCCTTCCGGATGGCTCTATTCGTTTGTATCACGAGCCGCTGCTGCAGGTTGCAGACGTTTTGAGAGGCTTCCCCTGCCATTCTCTCGCGTCGCTCAACCAACCACTTACCAAAAATAGCGCCGCTGATCCTATAGCAGCGGCGACACGCCCTGCATCTGCAGCAGACAGCCATTCCCGCCAATCTGCCGCTGATGTCACCCCACCGCCGGTCGCGGCAGCTGCGGCTACCGCAAGCAGTAGCGGCGGATCCCCGGCTGCTGGAACATCCGCGGGCCTCCTTTTCCCCGCCACCTCCGCGTCCAGACGTTTGCGGGAGCCTGGCGTTCCCGCGCCCCTTCCGCGGGAACAGTTTCTGCAGCCGGGCGGGACGTACGCGCTGTTCCGCCCTGCGGCTCTCGCGCGCGCTGCGTCGGCCACATTCGCGGAATCTTCGTCAAGTTCCTTGCACTTCGAATGGATCACCAATGCGCGGCGTCTGGATGAATCCCGTGCCGCATCCGTTATGGCGCGTCGCGAAGCCCCGAGCCCAGATCCGAGGATTAACAAGGCGACGCGGCATCATGAATCCCCAACCGGCGACGTTAGATCTGCGCATGGCGACTCGGTATGGGAGTCAGATAATGACGTCATGCGTGCGATGATGATCCCCCCAGCCGCTGCTGTTGGCTGCTTCGCGCCTGTTACATCCCGCAAAACCTCTTCCGCGAAGGCAGATCCGCAACGCGTCGCGGACGACGAGGCGCGCGGCGTCGCGAGTGCCGCGTCCAGCCACCCGTGGTTCGCGGCGGCGGCGGCGGCGTCGCGGCTGTTTCGAGCGTCGTCGATGCCGTCAGGAGGCGGCGAAAGTGCCAGTCTAACGGCGCCCTCCCCTCTGCTTGACCTCGCTGCGGCTGCAAATGCATCTGATACTAATACTGATACCAGTACTAATATAACGATGAATATAGCCGCCGTTAGTCCTACAAGCCCGGCGGGGTCGTTTCCCGAACCTACCGGCGTCGCCTCGCTTCGACGCACGCGGAGCAGCGTCGGTCGCATCGCCGATGCCGCGCCCACAGGTGGGGTTCCCGCCGCGGCAGCCCCCCCTACGTCCCTTCCCACGCAAGCTTCCGCCGCGCCCCTCATCTCTCCGCGCGGCCTCATCTCCGCCTCCTCGCGGAAGCTCGTCCGCGCGCTCACGGCACTGCCCCGCCCGCGCCTCTCGCGGAACAGCGAAGTCCGCGCAGCGGCGGACCGCAGATTATCCACGTTCCTCGCAGCCTACGACGGCAGTACCGGCGGCAACGGCGGGGGCGGCGGCGGCGGCGGCGACGGAGGAGGGGGAGCAGCAGGCGGAGGCGGCTGTTGCGACGGCGGCAGCAGCAGCTTTTCAGAGGGAGCGGGGCCGTGGTCACTAGTAGACTTTCTATCTCCGACAGGCAAGCCGGCGGAGGGGAAGGTCAAGCGGGGATTCGAGTTTCCCGCGCTTCGCGGGAAGGGCCGCGGCGAGCGCGAGGGCAACGAAGCGGCGGCGAACGCGGCGCTCGCCGCCGCCGCCTTCACGAGCGACTGGGCGAGCCAGATGGCGGAGTTCATTGGCGCGAGCTCCGCTTCTTCCGCTTCTTCCGCTTCTGTTACTATTTCTGCTTCTTCACTGTTCAGCGCTAGTAGCGGCGCGGCGAGAAATCAAGCGTTTATTGCTGAGCGACAGCAAAGAGCCGACCTGGGAGTGCAGGATCGCTGCAGCGCGCCGACTGCCACGGAGAAGGAGAACAGGGCCAGCAGCGTCGGTAGGCGGGGTGGCAGTGGCAGTGGCGGGGGAGCTAGCGGTGCGGGCGGGCAGGGGAGCGGGCCGTGGGGCGGGCGCCGGGCGTTTAGCGGACTGCTGCTGCCAGCAGTTGTGTCGGCCGGTGTGGCGGAGGAGGCGGTGAATGGCACTGGGGTGAATGGCACTGGGGATGGCCGTGCTGCAACGCTTACTAGTGCAGGTGCGAGCAGTGCCGCGATCGGTGGTGGTTCATGGCATGGTGGGATGACTAGAAGCAGGAGCTCGACGAGCGTGAGAGAGAGCAACAGTTATGGGAGTGAGGACTGGAGCGGCAGCGGCAGTGGCAATGGCAGTGGCGGTGGCAGTGGCAGTGGCGGTGGCAACAGCAGCAGCAGCAGCGGCAGTTTTAACATATTTAGAAGCAACAGTATGCGGAGCACTGTGACGAGCAACAGCAACGGTGGCAGCAGCGGCAGCGGCAGCGGCAGCGGCAGCAGCGGGAGGTTGCAGTCGGGATCTCAGAGGTTAGCTCAGTTCAAGTCGCTGCGCCTGCAGGTGGCACGTCCCTCGGGTGCTGCTTTGATGGGCGAGCACGGGGCAAGACTGGACACCGTGGGACCCAGAACCACAGGCTCGTGGAGTTCTGGCAATGGCTGGGTGCCCAGCGCGAGTGAGAGGAGTGGAGAGAAGGCGAATGTAGGGGCCCGGATTGGAGGGGCTGGGGGCTGGCAGGCAGGGAGTTTCTCTACAGGCAGCAGCGGAGGAGGCGCATCTGGGGTAGGCGTTACCAGTAGGGATCGAGCGAGTGGGGAAGTTTTGAGTAGCAGCAGGCCTGGCGGCCGAGGGGCGCGTGAGGAAAGGGACGGGTTTCCAAGGTATGCAGGGGAAAGGGGTGGAGCAGGGAGTGGCGAGGGTGAGAGAGCTGGTGAAGGTGCCACAAGGGGTGGGGCATCCAGGGAAGGAACGCGTGCGAGGGATGGCATGAAGGACGGCATGAGGGATGGCATGAGGTATGGGAGGGCTGCTGCTGATGGGTCTGGTGCTGTTGGGCAGACGTCGACTCTCATAAGTCCGACGTCTCCTGGCGGTGGGTCGAGATGGGTGATGGATTGGTTCTCCCCCAGAGTGCTCTCTGCGCCCTCCACTCCGCTACCACTGTTGCCACGACCTGCTGTTGTCACCCCTCCGTTAACCATGCTACCAAGGGGATCACCCACTGAGGCGTTTAAAGTGCCGCCTCTTGCGCCACCAGTGAGAGTGATATCCACTGCGTCCTCTACCACGAGCTCCAGCATGTCACTTGCTTCCCCAGTCGCCGCTGCTCAAGTTTCTCCCAACTCGTTACAAACGGCCCCGGATGCAGTGCATGATGACATGGGGCCAAACCAACAGGGCTACAGCTCCTTCAAGGATAAGCGAGTTCCATCTGCTTTACTTGTTTTTCCGTAGCCTGTACATGTCAAAGACGAGAGTAGCACTGAAGAATCGAAGCACATGTTGCGAAACTACGGTAGCTGACTTTGGTCCTAACCCATGTCCATCTATGTATCCCTGGTTATAATTTACCGTATTATTCCTAAGCAGGCACAAAGCAAACCTTCTACGGTATATGAAAATGCGGTTGAATACCAAATGACATTGGCGCCAATAAATAAGCAGTATTGTTTCCGTTCAAAGTTTTGCCATGCCAGTGTTTCAGAACAACTACAGCAAAACGATTCGCAACATAAAATCCACAATTGTGAAAAAAAAACACTTCTACACAATTTCTTACATTTATCATGTATCACCCCTATTCCAAGCACAGTACAAATATGCCAATCAGCATCTCATATCGATTGAGTTTGCACGAGTTATATGCACACATGTTCCTTCAAGTTGACAAAGAATCAGAGTAACGAACAGCGTATTGCGCACCAGATAAATAAGGGCAATAAATTAGCTTACCGTAAACTAGTCACAATAAGAGTGACCCATTTCATCAGGAAGTTCAGACACCAAGTCCTCCGTGAGTGCGTGGTGGGCGTGCTCCTCTTGCTGGTGCTGTGCGGGGGTGGACTGGCCCAGCTGGTGCTCGAGCTGGTCCAGGGCGTCTGAGAACTTGAGGTGCGAGTGAGCGGCAGATGCGCGTGGAGTGCCGTGCTGTGCCCCCAGTAAGGCCACTCGCCGCATCTCCCACGAGCAGTCACTAGTGGCTCGCGCCAATGGGGGAGGTCGCCCAAGCAGCCCTCCACCAGCCAGCCCACCAGCACTGCTGCTGCCGCCATCGCTTGCCCTGCCACCCGCCCACCCCACGCCTGCCTCTGCCCCTCCCCCCTTGCTGCCCCCCACCGACCCGTCCTCTGCTGCCGCCTGTGTGCGCGGGGGCACGTGCTGCCGCAGCCTCAGCGCTGCCAGCCCATGCAGGCCCTTCTCCCCCTCCTCAAACCGCACACGCCGCCTTGCCTTGCCCGCTGCCAACCCTGCTGCTGCCACCTCCCCCCTCAACTCCGCCCCACTGCTCTCCGCACCACCCCCACATGCACCCTGTGCTTCCCCCCCAATCACCGGCATGGGTGCCACCACATCCCGCAACTCGCTCTCCTCCACCCCTTCCTCCTCCTCCTCCCCCACTGCGACCACCCCTTCCTTCTCCTCCTCCTCCTTCCTCCCCACCACCTCCTCTGTGCCCCCACCCTCGCCTCCCTCGGCCCCCACTGCCGCCTTTCCCTCTGCTGCTGGCCCTTGGGAGCTCCACACCTGCTGCGTGGAGGGGAAGAGAGGCAAAGTTATAAAATCTGACAAATATTTAGCCTATTGTCACTCTTCATAAAAATGGAGTAGGCCTGATTCAGCATACGCATAAACCACACACCCATCAGGATGAGAAGATTAGCGATAGCGTGCAAATAGAGATGAGCATGGTGCCGACCTCACTTAGGTTCGACACAAACAGGCTCGTTCTGAAACCGCTCTGATATATGTAGATATATAGATATATATAGAGATATATATAGAGATATATATATAAATATATATATATATATATGTATATCTATAGATGTATACATAGATGTATATATAGGTATATTAAAATGGTTCGGCTGGAACCGATGCAGCTCGAGTCAACTCGCCGGTTCGGTTGAGCTAAATTGGCCTGAAGCGCATCGAATCGAGCCACGACTGGGCCGTACCTAGTCTTTCTTATCTCCACAACCCCTCTCACAGTATCATCATAAAAAAAAAAAAAAAAAAAAAAAACAACAACAACGCACACAAACACACACACGTGAACAGGTATGATTATTACAAATTTTGATGCCGAACCGAACCAGGGCCGGTTTAAGTTCAAACAAGCCGACTCGGACTGGAAGAAGTTACACCACAAATGTGAAACCTCAAGCTCTTGATTCCTCGATTCGGTTCTACTCTAATAGAACCGGCTTGCTTCAAGTTACCGGTTTGGATTGAGTTGTTCCTCATGTCTACGTGCGAGTACTTACGTGCTGCTCGCCCCAGACCTTGAACTTGAAACGTTATACGCCCTAAATCAAACACCCTTGGTTTCTAATATACTCCTCCTTCCTCAATCATATGCTGATAATATTATTGGCTCCCTCCTCCTTGCACTTTCTTATTCTCCTAAGCACAACTCATCTCCCAGATTGAAAGTACCACAGTTAGGGTCACCCAACCCGCTACCAAGATGAGTAGCAAACCATAACCAACCATGACATGAGGTCATGGTTTGCCACTTGTGTTCGCAGCTACTTGGGTGACCCTGATTGTCGTAATTTCAACCTAGGAGATGAGTTGTGCTTGGACGAAGAGATGTGAGTGAGGACGGAGCTAAGAATTCTGTCAAGGTATGATTGAAAGAGGAAGCGGTTAGAACCCACGAGTGCTTGATTTAGGACGATAAGGTTAAAGGATTTAAGGTTTAGAGAGCGAGCAGCACGAAAGTACTGCCAGAAGGACAAAGGTGAATGTTTGAGCAGACAGCAGTGGGCATGGCTCGGGTTCGGTTCGACCAAGCCTTCAATTACAGTTTTGAACACGTACCACACAACATTTTGAAGGGGCAAGGCAAGGTGGGGCAGAGAATGACAAGGAGAGAGTGAGTGGTTTGTTGCCTAAGCATAGTGCTGAGGCTCACCGGGCATGGTTGGTCGTCCCAGTCGTTGGCGTGAGAGGCGGCGTCCTCCCTGGTTGGGGTGGACTGGCCCAGCTGGTGCTCGAGCTGGTCCAGGGCGTCTGAGAACTTGAGGTGCGAGTGAGCGGCAGATGCGCGTGGAGTGCCGTGCTGTGCCCCCAGTAAGGCCACTCGCCGCATCTCCCACGAGCAGTCACTAGTGGCTCGCGCCAACGGGGGAGGTCGCCCAAGCAGCCCTCCACCAGCCAGCCCACCAGCACTGCTGCTGCCGCCATCGCTTGCCCTGCCACCCGCCCACCCCACGCCTGCCTCTGCCCCTCCCCCCTTGCTGCCCCCCACCGACCCGTCCTCTGCTGCCGCCTGTGTGCGCGGGGGCACGTGCTGCCGCAGCCTCAGCGCTGCCAGCCCATGCAGGCCCTTCTCCCCCTCCTCAAACCGCACACGCCGCCTTGCCTTGCCCGCTGCCAACCCTGCTGCTGCCACCTCCCCCCTCAACTCCGCCCCACTGCTCTCCGCACCACCCCCACATGCACCCTGTGCTTCCCCCCCAATCACCGGCATGGGTGCCACCACATCCCGCAACTCGCTCTCCTCCACCCCTTCCTCCTCCTCCTCCCCCACTGCAACCACCTCTTCCTTCTCCTCCTCCTCCTTCCTCCCTACCACCTCCTCTGTGCCCCCACCCTCGCCTCCCTCTGCCCCCACTGCCGCCTTTCCCTCTGCTGCTGGCCCTTGGGAGCTCCACACCTGCTGCGTGGAGGGGAAGAGAGGCAAAGTTATAAAATCTGACAAATATTTAGCCTATTGTCACTCTTCATAAAAATGGAGTAGGCCTGATTCAGCATACGCATAAACCACGCACCCATCAGGATGAGAAGATTAGCGATAGCGTGCAAATAGAGATGAGCATGGTGCCGACCTCACTTAGGTTCGACACAAACAGGCTCGTTCTGAAACCGCTCTGATATATGTAGATATATAGATATATATAGATATATATATATATATATGTATATCTATAGATGTATACATAGATGTATATATAGGTATATTAAAATGGTTCGGCTGGAACCGATGCAGCTCGAGTCAACTCGCCGGTTCGGTTGAACTAAATTGGCCTGAGGCGCATCGAATCGAGCCATGACTGGGCCATACCTAGTTTTTCTTATCTCCACGACCCCTCTCACAGTATCATCATCACAAAAAAAAAAAAAAAAAAAAAAAAAAAACAACAACAACAACGCACACAAACACACACACGTGAACAGGTATGATTATTACAAATCTTCATGCCGAACCGAACCAGGTCCGGTCAAAGTTCAAACAAGCCGACTCGGACTGGAAGAAGTTACACCACAAATGTGAAACCTCAAGCTTGCAATTCCTCGATTCGGTTCTACTCGAATAAAACCTGTTTGCTATAAATAACCGGTTTGGATTGACTTGTTCCTCATGTCTACGTGCGAGTACTGAAGTGCTGCTCGCTCCAGACCTTGAATTGGACTTGAAACGCTATACGACCTAAATCAAACACCCTTGGTTTCTAATATACTCCTCATCCTTCAATCATATGTTGACATTATATTATTGGCTCCCTCCTCCTTGCACTTTCCTCTTCTCCTATGCACAACTCATCTCCCAGATTGAAAGTACCACAGTTAGGGTCACCCAACCCGGCTACCAAGATGAGTAGCAAACCATAACCAACCATGACATGAGGTCATGGTTTGCCACTTGTGTTCGCAGCTAGTTGGGTGACACTGAGTGTCGTAATTTCAACCTAGGAGATGAGTTGTGTTTCGAAGAAGAGATGCGAGCGAGGACGGAGCTAAGAATTTTGTCAAGGTGTGATTGAAAGAGGAAGCGGTAAGAGATGTGAGTGATAGATTTAGGGCGATAAAGTTAAAAGATTTAAGGTTCAAAGAGCGAGCAGCACGAAAGTACTGCCAGTGCTAATATGATACCAGTCTTAATAGAAACAAGAGGGAAGAATATGAGAAGTAGGAGAAAGTTAAGAACAAAAATACAATCGTTCGTCGTATCGTACGTACGTACCTATATGAAGTTTTGATGACGAGCAAGAATACCACCACAAGGACAAAGGTGAATGTTTGAGCAGACAGCAGTGGGTATGTACGGGTTCGAATCCCGACCACCTTGGTCGAACCGGCTCGGTTTCGATTGGACCAAGCCTTCAATTACAGTTTTGAGCACGTACCACTCAACATTTTAAAGGGGCAAGGCAAGGTGGGGCAGAGAATGATAAGGAGAGAGTGAGTGGTTTGTTGCCTAAGCATAGTGCTGAGGCTCACCGGGCATGGTTGGTCGTCCCAGTCGTTGGCGTGAGAGGCGGCGTCCTCCCTGGTTGGGGTGGACTGGCCCAGCTGGTGCTCGAGCTGGTCCAGGGCGTCTGAGAACTTGAGGTGCGAGTGAGCGGCAGATGCGCGTGGAGTGCCGTGCTGTGCCCCCAGTAAGGCCACTCGCCGCATCTCCCACGAGCAGTCACTAGTGGCTCGCGCCAACGGGGGAGGTCGCCCAAGCAGCCCTCCACCAGCCAGCCCACCAGCACTGCTGCTGCCGCCATCGCTTGCCCTGCCACCCGCCCACCCCACGCCTGCCTCTGCCCCTCCCCCCTTGCTGCCCCCCACCGACCCGTCCTCTGCTGCCACCTGTGTGCGCGGGGGCACGTGCTGCCGCAGCCTCAGCGCTGCCAGCCCATGCAGGCCCTTCTCCCCCTCCTCAAACCGCACACGCCGCCTTGCCTTGCCCGCTGCCAACCCTGCTGCTGCCACCTCCCCCCTCAACTCCGCCCCACTGCTCTCCGCACCACCCCCACATGCACCCTGTGCTTCCCCCCCAATCACCGGCATGGGTGCCACCACATCCCGCAACTCGCTCTCCTCCACCCCTTCCTCCTCCTCCTCCCCCACTGCAACCACCTCTTCCTTCTCCTCCTCCTCCTTCCTCCCTACCACCTCCTCTGTGCCCCCACCCTCGCCTCCCTCTGCCCCCACTGCCGCCTTTCCCTCTGCTGCTGGCCCTTGGGAGCTCCACACCTGCTGCGTGGAGGGGAAGAGAGGCAAAGTTATAAAATCTGACAAATATTTAGCCTATTGTCACTCTTCATAAAAATGGAGTAGGCCTGATTCAGCATACGCATAAACCACGCACCCATCAGGATGAGAAGATTAGCGATAGCGTGCAAATAGAGATGAGCATGGTGCCGACCTCACTTAGGTTCGACACAAACAGGCTCGTTCTGAAACCGCTCTGATATATGTAGATATATAGATATATATAGATATATATATATATATATATGTATATCTATAGATGTATACATAGATGTATATATAGGTATATTAAAATGGTTCGGCTGGAACCGATGCAGCTCGAGTCAACTCGCCGGTTCGGTTGAACTAAATTGGCCTGAGGCGCATCGAATCGAGCCACGACTGGGCCATACCTAGTTTTTCTTATCTCCACGACCCCTCTCACAGTATCATCATCACAAAAAAAAAAAAAAAAAAAAAAAACAACAACAACAACGCACACAAACACACACACGTGAACAGGTATGATTATTACAAATCTTCATGCCGAACCGAACCAGGTCCGGTCAAAGTTCAAACAAGCCGACTCGGACTGGAAGAAGTTACACCACAAATGTGAAACCTCAAGCTTGCAATTCCTCGATTCGGTTCTACTCGAATAAAACCTGTTTGCTATAAATAACCGGTTTGGATTGACTTGTTCCTCATGTCTACGTGCGAGTACTGAAGTGCTGCTCGCTCCAGACCTTGAATTGGACTTGAAACGCTATACGACCTAAATCAAACACCCTTGGTTTCTAATATACTCCTCATCCTTCAATCATATGCTGACATTATATTATTGGCTCCCTCCTCCTTGCACTTTCCTCTTCTCCTATGCACAACTCATCTCCCAGATTGAAAGTACCACAGTTAGGGTCACCCAACCCGGCTACCAAGATGAGTAGCAAACCATAACCAACCATGACATGAGGTCATGGTTTGCCACTTGTGTTCGCAGCTAGTTGGGTGACACTGAGTGTCGTAATTTCAACCTAGGAGATGAGTTGTGTTTCGAAGAAGAGATGCGAGCGAGGACGGAGCTAAGAATTTTGTCAAGGTGTGATTGAAAGAGGAAGCGGTAAGAGATGTGAGTGATAGATTTAGGGCGATAAAGTTAAAAGATTTAAGGTTCAAAGAGCGAGCAGCACGAAAGTACTGCCAGTGCTAATATGATACCAGTCTTAATAGAAACAAGAGGGAAGAATATGAGAAGTAGGAGAAAGTTAAGAACAAAAATACAATCGTTCGTCGTATCGTACGTACGTACCTATATGAAGTTTTGATGACGAGCAAGAATACCACCACAAGGACAAAGGTGAATGTTTGAGCAGACAGCAGTGGGTATGTACGGGTTCGAATCCCGACCACCTTGGTCGAACCGGCTCGGTTTCGATTGGACCAAGCCTTCAATTACAGTTTTGAGCACGTACCACTCAACATTTTGAAGGGGCAAGGCAAGGTGGGGCAGAGAATGATAAGGAGAGAGTGAGTGGTTTGTTGCCTAAGCATAGTGCTGAGGCTCACCGGGCATGGTTGGTCGTCCCAGTCGTTGGCGTGAGAGGCGGCGTCCTCCCTGGTTGGGGTGGACTGGCCCAGCTGGTGCTCGAGCTGGTCCAGGGCGTCTGAGAACTTGAGGTGCGAGTGAGCGGCAGATGCGCGTGGAGTGCCGTGCTGTGCCCCCAGTAAGGCCACTCGCCGCATCTCCCACGAGCAGTCACTAGTGGCTCGCGCCAACGGGGGAGGTCGCCCAAGCAGCCCTCCACCAGCCAGCCCACCAGCACTGCTGCTGCCGCCATCGCTTGCCCTGCCACCCGCCCACCCCACGCCTGCCTCTGCCCCTCCCCCCTTGCTGCCCCCCACCGACCCGTCCTCTGCTGCCGCCTGTGTGCGCGGGGGCACGTGCTGCCGCAGCCTCAGCGCTGCCAGCCCATGCAGGCCCTTCTCCCCCTCCTCAAACCGCACACGCCGCCTTGCCTTGCCCGCTGCCAACCCTGCTGCTGCCACCTCCCCCCTCAACTCCGCCCCACTGCTCTCCGCACCACCCCCACATGCACCCTGTGCTTCCCCCCCAATCACCGGCATGGGTGCCACCACATCCCGCAACTCGCTCTCCTCCACCCCTTCCTCCTCCTCCTCCCCCACTGCAACCACCTCTTCCTTCTCCTTCTCCTCCTTCCTCCCTACCACCTCCTCTGTGCCCCCACCCTCGCCTCCCTCTGCCCCCACTGCCGCCTTTCCCTCTGCTGCTGGCCCTTGGGAGCTCCACACCTGCTGCGTGGAGGGGAAGAGAGGCAAAGTTATAAAATCTGACAAATATTTAGCCTATTGTCACTCTTCATAAAAATGGAGTAGGCCTGATTCAGCACACGCATAAACCACGCACCCATCAGGATGAGAAGATTAGCGATAGCGTGCAAATAGAGATGAGCATGGTGCCGACCTCACTTAGGTTCGACACAAACAAGCTCGTTCTGAAACCGCTCTGATATATGTAGATATATAGATATATATAGATATATATATATGTATATCTATAGATGTATACATAGATGTATATATAGGTATATTAAAATGGTTCGGCTGGAACCGATGCAGCTCGAGTCAACTCGCCGGTTCGGTTGAACTAAATTGGCCTGAGGCGCATCGAATCGAGCCACGACTGGGCCATACCTAGTTTTTCTTATCCCCACGACCCCTCTCACAGTATCATCATCACAAAAAAAAAAAAAAAAAAAAAAAAAAACAACAACAACAACGCACACAAACACACACACGTGAACAGGTATGATTATTACAAATCTTCATGCCGAACCGAACCAGGTCCGGTCAAAGTTCAAACAAGCCGACTCGGACTGGAAGAAGTTACACCACAAATGTGAAACCTCAAGCTTGCAATTCCTCGATTCGGTTCTACTCGAATAAAACCTGTTTGCTATAAATAACCGGTTTGGATTGACTTGTTCCTCATGTCTACGTGCGAGTACTGAAGTGCTGCTCGCTCCAGACCTTGAATTGGACTTGAAACGCTATACGACCTAAATCAAACACCCTTGGTTTCTAATATACTCCTCATCCTTCAATCATATGCTGACATTATATTATTGGCTCCCTCCTCCTTGCACTTTCCTCTTCTCCTATGCACAACTCATCTCCCAGATTGAAAGTACCACAGTTAGGGTCACCCAACCCGGCTACCAAGATGAGTAGCAAACCATAACCAACCATGACATGAGGTCATGGTTTGCCACTTGTGTTCGCAGCTAGTTGGGTGACACTGAGTGTCGTAATTTCAACCTAGGAGATGAGTTGTGTTTCGAAGAAGAGATGCGAGCGAGGACGGAGCTAAGAATTTTGTCAAGGTGTGATTGAAAGAGGAAGCGGTAAGAGATGTGAGTGATAGATTTAGGGCGATAAAGTTAAAATATTTAAGGTTCAAAGAGCGAGCAGCACGAAAGTACTGCCAGTGCTAATATGATACCAGTCTTAATAGAAACAAGAGGGAAGAATATGAGAAGTAGGAGAAAGTTAAGAACAAAAATACAATCGTTCGTCGTATCGTACGTACGTACCTATATGAAGTTTTGATGACGAGCAAGAATACCACCACAAGGACAAAGGTGAATGTTTGAGCAGACAGCAGTGGGTATGTACGGGTTCGAATCCCGACCACCTTGGTCGAACCGGCTCGGTTTCGATTGGACCAAGCCTTCAATTACAGTTTTGAGCACGTACCACTCAACATTTTAAAGGGGCAAGGCAAGGTGGGGCAGAGAATGATAAGGAGAGAGTGAGTGGTTTGTTGCCTAAGCATAGTGCTGAGGCTCACCGGGCATGGTTGGTCGTCCCAGTCGTTGGCGTGAGAGGCGGCGTCCTCCCTGGTTGGGGTGGACTGGCCCAGCTGGTGCTCGAGCTGGTCCAGGGCGTCTGAGAACTTGAGGTGCGAGTGAGCGGCAGATGCGCGTGGAGTGCCGTGCTGTGCCCCCAGTAAGGCCACTCGCCGCATCTCCCACGAGCAGTCACTAGTGGCTCGCGCCAACGGGGGAGGTCGCCCAAGCAGCCCTCCACCAGCCAGCCCACCAGCACTGCTGCTGCCGCCATCGCTTGCCCTGCCACCCGCCCACCCCACGCCTGCCTCTGCCCCTCCCCCCTTGCTGCCCCCCACCGACCCGTCCTCTGCTGCCGCCTGTGTGCGCGGGGGCATGTGCTGCCGCAGCCTCAGCGCTGCCAGCCCATGCAGGCCCTTCTCCCCCTCCTCAAACCGCACACGCCGCCTTGCCTTGCCCGCTGCCAACCCTGCTGCTGCCACCTCCCCCCTCAACTCCGCCCCACTGCTCTCCGCACCACCCCCACATGCACCCTGTGCTTCCCCCCCAATCACCGGCATGGGTGCCACCACATCCCGCAACTCGCTCTCCTCCACCCCTTCCTCCTCCTCCTCCTCCCCCACTGCAACCACCCCTTCCTTCTCCTCCTCCTCCTTCCTCCCCACCACCTCCTCTGTGCCCCCACCCTCGCCTCTCTCTGCCCCCACTGCCGCCTTTCCCTCTGCTGCTGGCCCTTGGGAGCTCCACACCTGCTGAGGGGAAGAGAGGCAAAGTTAAGGTAGCTAAGAATCCATCAACTTGTTGTCACTCAGCATAAGGAGAGATAAGGCTTGAATCAGCATACGCACAAACCACGCAACAGCGTCACCTCATCTCTGTTCGACACGAACTGGTTCGTTCTAAAACCGTTTGAATGATTGATTCCAGTAAAAATGGTTTGGCTCGAACCGACTGCAGCTTGAGTCAACCGTTCTGTTGGGTTCGACTAGATTAGCCGGCTCCAGCCACAATTGGGCTGTACCTACCATTTCCTTGCCTCCACGACCCCTTGCACAGTATCATGCAAAAAAAACTAAAGAAAAAAACCTGAACAAATATGACTATAACAAATGTTACTGCCAAACCGAACCATTTCGGGTTGAACTTCAAACAAATCGAGTCAACTGGTAGAATTTCGGCCACAAACGTCGAACATCAAGCTTTTGGTCCGACGATTCGGTTCGGCTCAAAGCGAACTGGTTTGCTTAAATAGCCAGTTTGAGTTTGGTTGTTGCTCATGTCAATGTGCGACCACTTTCATGCTGCTCGCCTTAACCAAACCTTTAACCCGTAATTCTATGCGACCTAAATCAAACACCATTTGTTTCTAACATAATCCATCATTTAAATGCTGACACTACTCTTGGCTTCCTCCTCCTTAATCTTCCTCTTCTCCTAAGCACAACTCATCTCCCAGATTGAAAGTAACACTGCCACAGTCATCCGAACCCGCTACCAAGATGCGTGGCAAACCAGTTGGTCTGCTAATGATGTGCACAGTTGGTTGGGTGACCCTGATTGTCGTAATTTCAACCAATGAGATGCAAGCAATGACATAACAAAGAATGTGCTTCTACTAAAATACAATCGTACCTATATAAAGTTTTGACTGGCACAAATACCACCACAAGGACAAAGGTGAATGTTTGAGCAGACAGCAGTGGGCATGTATGGGTTCGAATCTCGACCACCTTGGTCGAAACGGCTCGGGTTCGGTTCGACCAAGCCTTCAAATACAGTTTTGAACACGTAGCACGCAGCATTTGAAGGGGCAAGGTGGGGCAGAGAATGATAAGGAGAGAGTGAGTGGTTTGCTGCCTAGCATAGTGCTGAGGCTCACCGGGCATGGTTGGTCGTCCCAGTCGTTGGCGTGAGAGGCGGCGTCCTCCCTGGTTGGGCTGGACTGGCCCAGCTGGTGCTCGAGCTGGTCCAGGGCGTCTGAGAACTTGAGGTGCGAGTGAGCGGCAGATGCGCGTGGAGTGCCGTGCTGTGCCCCCAGTAAGGCCACTCGCCGCATCTCCCACGAGCAGTCACTAGTGGCTCGCGCCAACGGGGGAGGTCGCCCAAGCAGCCCTCCACCAGCCAGCCCACCAGCACTGCTGCTGCCGCCATCGCTTGCCCTGCCACCCGCCCACCCCACGCCTGCCTCTGCCCCTCCCCCCTTGCTGCCCCCCACCGACCCGTCCTCTGCTGCCGCCTGTGTGCGCGGGGGCACGTGCTGCCGCAGCCTCAGCGCTGCCAGCCCATGCAGGCCCTTCTCCCCCTCCTCAAACCGCACACGCCGCCTTGCCTTGCCCGCTGCCACCCCTGCTGCTGCCACCTCCCCCCTCAACTCCGCCCCACTGCTCTCCGCACCACCCCCACGTGCACCCTGTGCTTCCCCCCCAATCACCGGCATGGGTGCCACCACATCCCGCAACTCGCTCTCCTCCACCCCTTCCTCCTCCTCCTCCTCCCCCACTGCAACCACCCCTTCCTTCTCCTCCTCCTCCTTCCTCCCCACCACCTCCTCTGTGCCCCCACCCTCGCCTCTCTCTGCCCCCACTGCCGCCTTTCCCTCTGCTGCTGGCCCTTGGGAGCTCCACACCTGCTGAGGGGAAGAGAGGCAAAGTTAAGGTAGCTAAGAATCCATCAACTTGTTGTCACTCAGCATAAGGAGAGATAAGGCTTGAATCAGCATACGCACAAACCACGCAACAGCGTCACCTCATCTCTGTTCGACACGAACTGGTTCGTTCTAAAACCGTTTGAATGATTGATTCCAGTAAAAATGGTTTGGCTCGAACCGACTGCAGCTTGAGTCAACCGTTCTGTTGGGTTCGACTAGATTAGCCGGCTCCAGCCACAATTGGGCTGTACCTACCATTTCCTTGCCTCCACGACCCCTTGCACAGTATCATGCAAAAAAAACTAAAGAAAAAAACCTGAACAAATATGACTATAACAAATGTTACTGCCAAACCGAACCATTTCGGGTTGAACTTCAAACAAATCGAGTCAACTGGTAGAATTTCGGCCACAAACGTCGAACATCAAGCTTTTGGTCCGACGATTCGGTTCGGCTCAAAGCGAACTGGTTTGCTTAAATAGCCAGTTTGAGTTTGGTTGTTGCTCATGTCAATGTGCGACCACTTTCGTGCTGCTCGCCTTAACCAAACCTTTAACCCGTAATTCTATGCGACCTAAATCAAACACCATTTGTTTCTAACATAATCCATCATTTAAATGCTGACACTACTCTTGGCTTCCTCCTCCTTAATCTTCCTCTTCTCCTAAGCACAACTCATCTCCCAGATTGAAAGTAACACTGCCACAGTCATCCGAACCCGCTACCAAGATGCGTGGCAAACCAGTTGGTCTGCTAATGATGTGCACAGTTGGTTGGGTGACCCTGATTGTCGTAATTTCAACCAATGAGATGCAAGCAATGACATAACAAAGAATGTGCTTCTACTAAAATACAATCGTACCTATATAAAGTTTTGACTGGCACAAATACCACCACAAGGACAAAGGTGAATGTTTGAGCAGACAGCAGTGGGCATGTATGGGTTCGAATCTCGACCACCTTGGTCGAAACGGCTCGGGTTCGGTTCGACCAAGCCTTCAAATACAGTTTTGAACACGTAGCACTCAGCATTTGAAGGGGCAAGGTGGGGCAGAGAATGATAAGGAGAGAGTGAGTGGTTTGCTGCCTAGCATAGTGCTGAGGCTCACCGGGCATGGTTGGTCGTCCCAGTCGTTGGCGTGAGAGGCGGCGTCCTCCCTGGTTGGGCTGGACTGGCCCAGCTGGTGCTCGAGCTGGTCCAGGGCGTCTGAGAACTTGAGGTGCGAGTGAGCGGCAGATGCGCGTGGAGTGCCGTGCTGTGCCCCCAGTAAGGCCACTCGCCGCATCTCCCACGAGCAGTCACTAGTGGCTCGCGCCAACGGGGGAGGTCGCCCAAGCAGCCCTCCACCAGCCAGCCCACCAGCACTGCTGCTGCCGCCATCGCTTGCCCTGCCACCCGCCCACCCCACGCCTGCCTCTGCCCCTCCCCCCTTGCTGCCCCCCACCGACCCGTCCTCTGCTGCCGCCTGTGTGCGCGGGGGCACGTGCTGCCGCAGCCTCAGCGCTGCCAGCCCATGCAGGCCCTTCTCCCCCTCCTCAAACCGCACACGCCGCCTTGCCTTGCCCGCTGCCACCCCTGCTGCTGCCACCTCCCCCCTCAACTCCGCCCCACGGCTCTCCGCACCACCCCCACGTGCACCCTGTGCTTCCCCCCCAATCACCGGCATGGGTGCCACCACATCCCGCAACTCGCTCTCCTCCACCCCTTCCTCCTCCTCCTCCTCCCCCACTGCAACCACCCCTTCCTTCTCCTCCTCCTCCTTCCTCCCCACCACCTCCTCTGTGCCCCCACCCTCGCCTCTCTCTGCCCCCACTGCCGCCTTTCCCTCTGCTGCTGGCCCTTGGGAGCTCCACACCTGCTGAGGGGAAGAGAGGCAAAGTTAAGGTAGCTAAGAATCCATCAACTTGTTGTCACTCAGCATAAGGAGAGATAAGGCTTGAATCAGCATACGCACAAACCACGCAACAGCGTCACCTCATCTCTGTTCGACACGAACTGGTTCGTTCTAAAACCGTTTGAATGATTGATTCCAGTAAAAATGGTTTGGCTCGAACCGACTGCAGCTTGAGTCAACCGTTCTGTTGGGTTCGACTAGATTAGCCGGCTCCAGCCACAATTGGGCTGTACCTACCATTTCCTTGCCTCCACGACCCCTTGCACAGTATCATGCAAAAAAAACTAAAGAAAAAAACCTGAACAAATATGACTATAACAAATGTTACTGCCAAACCGAACCATTTCGGGTTGAACTTCAAACAAATCGAGTCAACTGGTAGAATTTCGGCCACAAACGTCGAACATCAAGCTTTTGGTCCGACGATTCGGTTCGGCTCAAAGCGAACTGGTTTGCTTAAATAGCCAGTTTGAGTTTGGTTGTTGCTCATGTCAATGTGCGACCACTTTCGTGCTGCTCGCCTTAACCAAACCTTTAACCCGTAATTCTATGCGACCTAAATCAAACACCATTTGTTTCTAACATAATCCATCATTTAAATGCTGACACTACTCTTGGCTTCCTCCTCCTTAATCTTCCTCTTCTCCTAAGCACAACTCATCTCCCAGATTGAAAGTAACACTGCCACAGTCATCCGAACCCGCTACCAAGATGCGTGGCAAACCAGTTGGTCTGCTAATGATGTGCACAGTTGGTTGGGTGACCCTGATTGTCGTAATTTCAACCAATGAGATGCAAGCAATGACATAACAAAGAATGTGCTTCTACTAAAATACAATCGTACCTATATAAAGTTTTGACTGGCACAAATACCACCACAAGGACAAAGGTGAATGTTTGAGCAGACAGCAGTGGGCATGTATGGGTTCGAATCTCGACCACCTTGGTCGAAACGGCTCGGGTTCGGTTCGACCAAGCCTTCAAATACAGTTTTGAGCACGTAGCACTCAGCATTTGAAGGGGCAAGGTGGGGCAGAGAATGATAAGGAGAGAGTGAGTGGTTTGCTGCCTAGCATAGTGGTGAGGCTCACCGGGCATGGTTGGTCGTCCCAGTCGTTGGCGTGAGAGGCGGCGTCCTCCCTGGTTGGGCTGGACTGGCCCAGCTGGTGCTCGAGCTGGTCCAGGGCGTCTGAGAACTTGAGGTGCGAGTGAGCGATAGATGCGCGTGGAGTGCCGTGCTGTGCCCCCAGTAAGGCCACTCGCCGCATCTCCCACGAGCAGTCACTAGTGGCTCGCGCCAACGGGGGAGGTCGCCCAAGCAGCCCTCCACCAGCCAGCCCACCAGCACTGCTGCTGCCGCCATCGCTTGCCCTGCCACCCGCCCACCCCACGCCTGCCTCTGCCCCTCCCCCCTTGCTGCCCCCCACCGACCCGTCCTCTGCTGCCGCCTGTGTGCGCGGGGGCACGTGCTGCCGCAGCCTCAGCGCTGCCAGCCCATGCAGGCCCTTCTCCCCCTCCTCAAACCGCACACGCCGCCTTGCCTTGCCCGCTGCCACCCCTGCTGCTGCCACCTCCCCCCTCAACTCCGCCCCACTGCTCTCCGCACCACCCCCACATGCACCCTGTGCTTCCCCCCCAATCACCGGCATGGGTGCCACCACATCCCGCAACTCGCTCTCCTCCACCCCTTCCTCCTCCTCCTCCTCCCCCACTGCAACCACCCCTTCCTTCTCCTCCTCCTCCTCCTCCCCCACTGCAACCACCCCTTCCTTCTCCTCCTCCTCCTTCCTCCCCACCACCTCCTCTGTGCCCCCACCCTCGCCTCTCTCTGCCCCCACTGCCGCCTTTCCCTCTGCTGCTGGCCCTTGGGAGCTCCACACCTGCTGAGGGGAAGAGAGGCAAAGTTAAGGTAGCTAAGAATCCATCAACTTGTTGTCACTCAGCATAAGGAGAGATAAGGCTTGAATCAGCATACGCACAAACCACGCAACAGCGTCACCTCATCTCTGTTCGATACGAACTGGTTCGTTCTAAAACCGTTTGAATGATTGATTCCAGTAAAAATGGTTTGGCTCGAACCGACTGCAGCTTGAGTCAACCGTTCTGTTGGGTTCGACTAGATTAGCCGGCTCCAGCCACAATTGGGCTGTACCTACCATTTCCTTGCCTCCACGACCCCTTGCACAGTATCATGCAAAAAAAACTAAAGAAAAAAACCTGAACAAATATGACTATAACAAATGTTACTGCCAAACCGAACCATTTCGGGTTGAACTTCAAACAAATCGAGTCAACTGGTAGAATTTCGGCCACAAACGTCGAACATCAAGCTTTTGGTCCGACGATTCGGTTCGGCTCAAAGCGAACTGGTTTGCTTAAATAGCCAGTTTGAGTTTGGTTGTTGCTCATGTCAATGTGCGACCACTTTCGTGCTGCTCGCCTTAACCAAACCTTTAACCCGTAATTCTATGCGACCTAAATCAAACACCATTTGTTTCTAACATAATCCATCATTTAAATGCTGACACTACTCTTGGCTTCCTCCTCCTTAATCTTCCTCTTCTCCTAAGCACAACTCATCTCCCAGATTGAAAGTAACACTGCCACAGTCATCCGAACCCGCTACCAAGATGCGTGGCAAACCAGTTGGTCTGCTAATGATGTGCACAGTTGGTTGGGTGACCCTGATTGTCGTAATTTCAACCAATGAGATGCAAGCAATGACATAACAAAGAATGTGCTTCTACTAAAATACAATCGTACCTATATAAAGTTTTGACTGGCACAAATACCACCACAAGGACAAAGGTGAATGTTTGAGCAGACAGCAGTGGGCATGTATGGGTTCGAATCTCGACCACCTTGGTCGAAACGGCTCGGGTTCGGTTCGACCAAGCCTTCAAATACAGTTTTGAACACGTAGCACTCAGCATTTGAAGGGGCAAGGTGGGGCAGAGAATGATAAGGAGAGAGTGAGTGGTTTGCTGCCTAGCATAGTGCTGAGGCTCACCGGGCATGGTTGGTCGTCCCAGTCGTTGGCGTGAGAGGCGGCGTCCTCCCTGGTTGGGCTGGACTGGCCCAGCTGGTGCTCGAGCTGGTCCAGGGCGTCTGAGAACTTGAGGTGCGAGTGAGCGGCAGATGCGCGTGGAGTGCCGTGCTGTGCCCCCAGTAAGGCCACTCGCCGCATCTCCCACGAGCAGTCACTAGTGGCTCGCGCCAACGGGGGAGGTCGCCCAAGCAGCCCTCCACCAGCCAGCCCACCAGCACTGCTGCTGCCGCCATCGCTTGCCCTGCCACCCGCCCACCCCACGCCTGCCTCTGCCCCTCCCCCCTTGCTGCCCCCCACCGACCCGTCCTCTGCTGCCGCCTGTGTGCGCGGGGGCACGTGCTGCCGCAGCCTCAGCGCTGCCAGCCCATGCAGGCCCTTCTCCCCCTCCTCAAACCGCACACGCCGCCTTGCCTTGCCCGCTGCCACCCCTGCTGCTGCCACCTCCCCCCTCAACTCCGCCCCACTGCTCTCCGCACCACCCCCACGTGCACCCTGTGCTTCCCCCCCAATCACCGGCATGGGTGCCACCACATCCCGCAACTCGCTCTCCTCCACCCCTTCCTCCTCCTCCTCCTCCCCCACTGCAACCACCCCTTCCTTCTCCTCCTCCTCCTTCCTCCCCACCACCTCCTCTGTGCCCCCACCCTCGCCTCTCTCTGCCCCCACTGCCGCCTTTCCCTCTGCTGCTGGCCCTTGGGAGCTCCACACCTGCTGAGGGGAAGAGAGGCAAAGTTAAGGTAGCTAAGAATCCATCAACTTGTTGTCACTCAGCATAAGGAGAGATAAGGCTTGAATCAGCATACGCACAAACCACGCAACAGCGTCACCTCATCTCTGTTCGACACGAACTGGTTCGTTCTAAAACCGTTTGAATGATTGATTCCAGTAAAAATGGTTTGGCTCGAACCGACTGCAGCTTGAGTCAACCGTTCTGTTGGGTTCGACTAGATTAGCCGGCTCCAGCCACAATTGGGCTGTACCTACCATTTCCTTGCCTCCACGACCCCTTGCACAGTATCATGCAAAAAAAACTAAAGAAAAAAACCTGAACAAATATGACTATAACAAATGTTACTGCCAAACCGAACCATTTCGGGTTGAACTTCAAACAAATCGAGTCAACTGGTAGAATTTCGGCCACAAACGTCGAACATCAAGCTTTTGGTCCGACGATTCGGTTCGGCTCAAAGCGAACTGGTTTGCTTAAATAGCCAGTTTGAGTTTGGTTGTTGCTCATGTCAATGTGCGACCACTTTCGTGCTGCTCGCCTTAACCAAACCTTTAACCCGTAATTCTATGCGACCTAAATCAAACACCATTTGTTTCTAACATAATCCATCATTTAAATGCTGACACTACTCTTGGCTTCCTCCTCCTTAATCTTCCTCTTCTCCTAAGCACAACTCATCTCCCAGATTGAAAGTAACACTGCCACAGTCATCCGAACCCGCTACCAAGATGCGTGGCAAACCAGTTGGTCTGCTAATGATGTGCACAGTTGGTTGGGTGACCCTGATTGTCGTAATTTCAACCAATGAGATGCAAGCAATGACATAACAAAGAATGTGCTTCTACTAAAATACAATCGTACCTATATAAAGTTTTGACTGGCACAAATACCACCACAAGGACAAAGGTGAATGTTTGAGCAGACAGCAGTGGGCATGTATGGGTTCGAATCTCGACCACCTTGGTCGAAACGGCTCGGGTTCGGTTCGACCAAGCCTTCAAATACAGTTTTGAGCACGTAGCACTCAGCATTTGAAGGGGCAAGGTGGGGCAGAGAATGATAAGGAGAGAGTGAGTGGTTTGCTGCCTAGCATAGTGGTGAGGCTCACCGGGCATGGTTGGTCGTCCCAGTCGTTGGCGTGAGAGGCGGCGTCCTCCCTGGTTGGGCTGGACTGGCCCAGCTGGTGCTCGAGCTGGTCCAGGGCGTCTGAGAACTTGAGGTGCGAGTGAGCGGCAGATGCGCGTGGAGTGCCGTGCTGTGCCCCCAGTAAGGCCACTCGCCGCATCTCCCACGAGCAGTCACTAGTGGCTCGCGCCAACGGGGGAGGTCGCCCAAGCAGCCCTCCACCAGCCAGCCCACCAGCACTGCTGCTGCCGCCATCGCTTGCCCTGCCACCCGCCCACCCCACGCCTGCCTCTGCCCCTCCCCCCTTGCTGCCCCCCACCGACCCGTCCTCTGCTGCCGCCTGTGTGCGCGGGGGCACGTGCTGCCGCAGCCTCAGCGCTGCCAGCCCATGCAGGCCCTTCTCCCCCTCCTCAAACCGCACACGCCGCCTTGCCTTGCCCGCTGCCACCCCTGCTGCTGCCACCTCCCCCCTCAACTCCGCCCCACTGCTCTCCGCACCACCCCCACATGCACCCTGTGCTTCCCCCCCAATCACCGGCATGGGTGCCACCACATCCCGCAACTCGCTCTCCTCCACCCCTTCCTCCTCCTCCTCCTCCCCCACTGCAACCACCCCTTCCTTCTCCTCCTCCTCCTTCCTCCCCACCACCTCCTCTGTGCCCCCACCCTCGCCTCTCTCTGCCCCCACTGCCGCCTTTCCCTCTGCTGCTGGCCCTTGGGAGCTCCACACCTGCTGAGGGGAAGAGAGGCAAAGTTAAGGTAGCTAAGAATCCATCAACTTGTTGTCACTCAGCATAAGGAGAGATAAGGCTTGAATCAGCATACGCACAAACCACGCAACAGCGTCACCTCATCTCTGTTCGATACGAACTGGTTCGTTCTAAAACCGTTTGAATGATTGATTCCAGTAAAAATGGTTTGGCTCGAACCGACTGCAGCTTGAGTCAACCGTTCTGTTGGGTTCGACTAGATTAGCCGGCTCCAGCCACAATTGGGCTGTACCTACCATTTCCTTGCCTCCACGACCCCTTGCACAGTATCATGCAAAAAAAACTAAAGAAAAAAACCTGAACAAATATGACTATAACAAATGTTACTGCCAAACCGAACCATTTCGGGTTGAACTTCAAACAAATCGAGTCAACTGGTAGAATTTCGGCCACAAACGTCGAACATCAAGCTTTTGGTCCGACGATTCGGTTCGGCTCAAAGCGAACTGGTTTGCTTAAATAGCCAGTTTGAGTTTGGTTGTTGCTCATGTCAATGTGCGACCACTTTCATGCTGCTCGCCTTAACCAAACCTTTAACCCGTAATTCTATGCGACCTAAATCAAACACCATTTGTTTCTAACATAATCCATCATTTAAATGCTGACACTACTCTTGGCTTCCTCCTCCTTAATCTTCCTCTTCTCCTAAGCACAACTCATCTCCCAGATTGAAAGTAACACTGCCACAGTCATCCGAACCCGCTACCAAGATGCGTGGCAAACCAGTTGGTCTGCTAATGATGTGCACAGTTGGTTGGGTGACCCTGATTGTCGTAATTTCAACCAATGAGATGCAAGCAATGACATAACAAAGAATGTGCTTCTACTAAAATACAATCGTACCTATATAAAGTTTTGACTGGCACAAATACCACCACAAGGACAAAGGTGAATGTTTGAGCAGACAGCAGTGGGCATGTATGGGTTCGAATCTCGACCACCTTGGTCGAAACGGCTCGGGTTCGGTTCGACCAAGCCTTCAAATACAGTTTTGAACACGTAGCACTCAGCATTTGAAGGGGCAAGGTGGGGCAGAGAATGATAAGGAGAGAGTGAGTGGTTTGCTGCCTAGCATAGTGGTGAGGCTCACCGGGCATGGTTGGTCGTCCCAGTCGTTGGCGTGAGAGGCGGCGTCCTCCCTGGTTGGGGTGGACTGGCCCAGCTGGTGCTCGAGCTGGTCCAGGGCGTCTGAGAACTTGAGGTGCGAGTGAGCGGCAGATGCGCGTGGAGTGCCGTGCTGTGCCCCCAGTAAGGCCACTCGCCGCATCTCCCACGAGCAGTCACTAGTGGCTCGCGCCAACGGGGGAGGTCGCCCAAGCAGCCCTCCACCAGCCAGCCCACCAGCACTGCTGCTGCCGCCATCGCTTGCCCTGCCACCCGCCCACCCCACGCCTGCCTCTGCCCCTCCCCCCTTGCTGCCCCCCACCGACCCGTCCTCTGCTGCCGCCTGTGTGCGCAGGGGCACGTGCTGCCGCAGCCTCAGCGCTGCCAGCCCATGCAGGCCCTTCTCCCCCTCCTCAAACCGCACACGCCGCCTTGCCTTGCCCGCTGCCACCCCTGCTGCTGCCACCTCCCCCCTCAACTCCGCCCCACTGCTCTCCGCACCACCCCCACGTGCACCCTGTGCTTCCCCCCCAATCACCGGCATGGGTGCCACCACATCCCGCAACTCGCTCTCCTCCACCCCTTCCTCCTCCTCCTCCTCCCCCACTGCAACCACCCCTTCCTTCTCCTCCTCCTCCTTCCTCCCCACCACCTCCTCTGTGCCCCCACCCTCGCCTCTCTCTGCCCCCACTGCCGCCTTTCCCTCTGCTGCTGGCCCTTGGGAGCTCCACACCTGCTGAGGGGAAGAGAGGCAAAGTTAAGGTAGCTAAGAATCCATCAACTTGTTGTCACTCAGCATAAGGAGAGATAAGGCTTGAATCAGCATACGCACAAACCACGCAACAGCGTCACCTCATCTCTGTTCGATACGAACTGGTTCGTTCTAAAACCGTTTGAATGATTGATTCCAGTAAAAATGGTTTGGCTCGAACCGACTGCAGCTTGAGTCAACCGTTCTGTTGGGTTCGACTAGATTAGCCGGCTCCAGCCACAATTGGGCTGTACCTACCATTTCCTTGCCTCCACGACCCCTTGCACAGTATCATGCAAAAAAAACTAAAGAAAAAAACCTGAACAAATATGACTATAACAAATGTTACTGCCAAACCGAACCATTTCGGGTTGAACTTCAAACAAATCGAGTCAACTGGTAGAATTTCGGCCACAAACGTCGAACATCAAGCTTTTGGTCCGACGATTCGGTTCGGCTCAAAGCGAACTGGTTTGCTTAAATAGCCAGTTTGAGTTTGGTTGTTGCTCATGTCAATGTGCGACCACTTTCATGCTGCTCGCCTTAACCAAACCTTTAACCCGTAATTCTATGCGACCTAAATCAAACACCATTTGTTTCTAACATAATCCATCATTTAAATGCTGACACTACTCTTGGCTTCCTCCTCCTTAATCTTCCTCTTCTCCTAAGCACAACTCATCTCCCAGATTGAAAGTAACACTGCCACAGTCATCCGAACCCGCTACCAAGATGCGTGGCAAACCAGTTGGTCTGCTAATGATGTGCACAGTTGGTTGGGTGACCCTGATTGTCGTAATTTCAACCAATGAGATGCAAGCAATGACATAACAAAGAATGTGCTTCTACTAAAATACAATCGTACCTATATAAAGTTTTGACTGGCACAAATACCACCACAAGGACAAAGGTGAATGTTTGAGCAGACAGCAGTGGGCATGTATGGGTTCGAATCTCGACCACCTTGGTCGAAACGGCTCGGGTTCGGTTCGATCAAGCCTTCAAATACAGTTTTGAACACGTAGCACTCAGCATTTGAAGGGGCAAGGTGGGGCAGAGAATGATAAGGAGAGAGTGAGTGGTTTGCTGCCTAGCATAGTGCTGAGGCTCACCGGGCATGGTTGGTCGTCCCAGTCGTTGGCGTGAGAGGCGGCGTCCTCCCTGGTTGGGGTGGACTGGCCCAGCTGGTGCTCGAGCTGGTCCAGGGCGTCTGAGAACTTGAGGTGCGAGTGAGCGGCAGATGCGCGTGGAGTGCCGTGCTGTGCCCCCAGTAAGGCCACTCGCCGCATCTCCCACGAGCAGTCACTAGTGGCTCGCGCCAACGGGGGAGGTCGCCCAAGCAGCCCTCCACCAGCCAGCCCACCAGCACTGCTGCTGCCGCCATCGCTTGCCCTGCCACCCGCCCACCCCACGCCTGCCTCTGCCCCTCCCCCCTTGCTGCCCCCCACCGACCCGTCCTCTGCTGCCGCCTGTGTGCGCAGGGGCACGTGCTGCCGCAGCCTCAGCGCTGCCAGCCCATGCAGGCCCTTCTCCCCCTCCTCAAACCGCACACGCCGCCTTGCCTTGCCCGCTGCCACCCCTGCTGCTGCCACCTCCCCCCTCAACTCCGCCCCACTGCTCTCCGCACCACCCCCACGTGCACCCTGTGCTTCCCCCCCAATCACCGGCATGGGTGCCACCACATCCCGCAACTCGCTCTCCTCCACCCCTTCCTCCTCCTCCTCCTCCCCCACTGCAACCACCCCTTCCTTCTCCTCCTCCTCCTTCCTCCCCACCACCTCCTCTGTGCCCCCACCCTCGCCTCTCTCTGCCCCCACTGCCGCCTTTCCCTCTGCTGCTGGCCCTTGGGAGCTCCACACCTGCTGAGGGGAAGAGAGGCAAAGTTAAGGTAGCTAAGAATCCATCAACTTGTTGTCACTCAGCATAAGGAGAGATAAGGCTTGAATCAGCATACGCACAAACCACGCAACAGCGTCACCTCATCTCTGTTCGATACGAACTGGTTCGTTCTAAAACCGTTTGAATGATTGATTCCAGTAAAAATGGTTTGGCTCGAACCGACTGCAGCTTGAGTCAACCGTTCTGTTGGGTTCGACTAGATTAGCCGGCTCCAGCCACAATTGGGCTGTACCTACCATTTCCTTGCCTCCACGACCCCTTGCACAGTATCATGCAAAAAAAACTAAAGAAAAAAACCTGAACAAATATGACTATAACAAATGTTACTGCCAAACCGAACCATTTCGGGTTGAACTTCAAACAAATCGAGTCAACTGGTAGAATTTCGGCCACAAACGTCGAACATCAAGCTTTTGGTCCGACGATTCGGTTCGGCTCAAAGCGAACTGGTTTGCTTAAATAGCCAGTTTGAGTTTGGTTGTTGCTCATGTCAATGTGCGACCACTTTCATGCTGCTCGCCTTAACCAAACCTTTAACCCGTAATTCTATGCGACCTAAATCAAACACCATTTGTTTCTAACATAATCCATCATTTAAATGCTGACACTACTCTTGGCTTCCTCCTCCTTAATCTTCCTCTTCTCCTAAGCACAACTCATCTCCCAGATTGAAAGTAACACTGCCACAGTCATCCGAACCCGCTACCAAGATGCGTGGCAAACCAGTTGGTCTGCTAATGATGTGCACAGTTGGTTGGGTGACCCTGATTGTCGTAATTTCAACCAATGAGATGCAAGCAATGACATAACAAAGAATGTGCTTCTACTAAAATACAATCGTACCTATATAAAGTTTTGACTGGCACAAATACCACCACAAGGACAAAGGTGAATGTTTGAGCAGACAGCAGTGGGCATGTATGGGTTCGAATCTCGACCACCTTGGTCGAAACGGCTCGGGTTCGGTTCGACCAAGCCTTCAAATACAGTTTTGAACACGTAGCACTCAGCATTTGAAGGGGCAAGGTGGGGCAGAGAATGATAAGGAGAGAGTGAGTGGTTTGCTGCCTAGCATAGTGCTGAGGCTCACCGGGCATGGTTGGTCGTCCCAGTCGTTGGCGTGAGAGGCGGCGTCCTCCCTGGTTGGGCTGGACTGGCCCAGCTGGTGCTCGAGCTGGTCCAGGGCGTCTGAGAACTTGAGGTGCGAGTGAGCGGCAGATGCGCGTGGAGTGCCGTGCTGTGCCCCCAGTAAGGCCACTCGCCGCATCTCCCACGAGCAGTCACTAGTGGCTCGCGCCAACGGGGGAGGTCGCCCAAGCAGCCCTCCACCAGCCAGCCCACCAGCACTGCTGCTGCCGCCATCGCTTGCCCTGCCACCCGCCCACCCCACGCCTGCCTCTGCCCCTCCCCCCTTGCTGCCCCCCACCGACCCGTCCTCTGCTGCCGCCTGTGTGCGCGGGGGCACGTGCTGCCGCAGCCTCAGCGCTGCCAGCCCATGCAGGCCCTTCTCCCCCTCCTCAAACCGCACACGCCGCCTTGCCTTGCCCGCTGCCACCCCTGCTGCTGCCACCTCCCCCCTCAACTCCGCCCCACTGCTCTCCGCACCACCCCCACGTGCACCCTGTGCTTCCCCCCCAATCACCGGCATGGGTGCCACCACATCCCGCAACTCGCTCTCCTCCACCCCTTCCTCCTCCTCCTCCTCCCCCACTGCAACCACCCCTTCCTTCTCCTCCTCCTCCTTCCTCCCCACCACCTCCTCTGTGCCCCCACCCTCGCCTCTCTCTGCCCCCACTGCCGCCTTTCCCTCTGCTGCTGGCCCTTGGGAGCTCCACACCTGCTGAGGGGAAGAGAGGCAAAGTTAAGGTAGCTAAGAATCCATCAACTTGTTGTCACTCAGCATAAGGAGAGATAAGGCTTGAATCAGCATACGCACAAACCACGCAACAGCGTCACCTCATCTCTGTTCGACACGAACTGGTTCGTTCTAAAACCGTTTGAATGATTGATTCCAGTAAAAATGGTTTGGCTCGAACCGACTGCAGCTTGAGTCAACCGTTCTGTTGGGTTCGACTAGATTAGCCGGCTCCAGCCACAATTGGGCTGTACCTACCATTTCCTTGCCTCCACGACCCCTTGCACAGTATCATGCAAAAAAAACTAAAGAAAAAAACCTGAACAAATATGACTATAACAAATGTTACTGCCAAACCGAACCATTTCGGGTTGAACTTCAAACAAATCGAGTCAACTGGTAGAATTTCGGCCACAAACGTCGAACATCAAGCTTTTGGTCCGACGATTCGGTTCGGCTCAAAGCGAACTGGTTTGCTTAAATAGCCAGTTTGAGTTTGGTTGTTGCTCATGTCAATGTGCGACCACTTTCATGCTGCTCGCCTTAACCAAACCTTTAACCCGTAATTCTATGCGACCTAAATCAAACACCATTTGTTTCTAACATAATCCATCATTTAAATGCTGACACTACTCTTGGCTTCCTCCTCCTTAATCTTCCTCTTCTCCTAAGCACAACTCATCTCCCAGATTGAAAGTAACACTGCCACAGTCATCCGAACCCGCTACCAAGATGCGTGGCAAACCAGTTGGTCTGCTAATGATGTGCACAGTTGGTTGGGTGACCCTGATTGTCGTAATTTCAACCAATGAGATGCAAGCAATGACATAACAAAGAATGTGCTTCTACTAAAATACAATCGTACCTATATAAAGTTTTGACTGGCACAAATACCACCACAAGGACAAAGGTGAATGTTTGAGCAGACAGCAGTGGGCATGTATGGGTTCGAATCTCGACCACCTTGGTCGAAACGGCTCGGGTTCGGTTCGACCAAGCCTTCAAATACAGTTTTGAACACGTAGCACTCAGCATTTGAAGGGGCAAGGTGGGGCAGAGAATGATAAGGAGAGAGTGAGTGGTTTGCTGCCTAGCATAGTGGTGAGGCTCACCGGGCATGGTTGGTCGTCCCAGTCGTTGGCGTGAGAGGCGGCGTCCTCCCTGGTTGGGCTGGACTGGCCCAGCTGGTGCTCGAGCTGGTCCAGGGCGTCTGAGAACTTGAGGTGCGAGTGAGCGGCAGATGCGCGTGGAGTGCCGTGCTGTGCCCCCAGTAAGGCCACTCGCCGCATCTCCCACGAGCAGTCACTAGTGGCTCGCGCCAACGGGGGAGGTCGCCCAAGCAGCCCTCCACCAGCCAGCCCACCAGCACTGCTGCTGCCGCCATCGCTTGCCCTGCCACCCGCCCACCCCACGCCTGCCTCTGCCCCTCCCCCCTTGCTGCCCCCCACCGACCCGTCCTCTGCTGCCGCCTGTGTGCGCGGGGGCACGTGCTGCCGCAGCCTCAGCGCTGCCAGCCCATGCAGGCCCTTCTCCCCCTCCTCAAACCGCACACGCCGCCTTGCCTTGCCCGCTGCCACCCCTGCTGCTGCCACCTCCCCCCTCAACTCCGCCCCACTGCTCTCCGCACCACCCCCACATGCACCCTGTGCTTCCCCCCCAATCACCGGCATCGGTGCCACCACATCCCGCAACTCGCTCTCCTCCACCCCTTCCTCCTCCTCCTCCCCCACTGCAACCACCCCTTCCTTCTCCTCCTCCCTCTCCACCACCCCCTCTGTGACCCCACCCTCGACTTCTGCTGCCCCCGTTGCCGCATTTCCCTCGGCTGATAACCCTTGGAAGCTCCATACCTGTTTTGTGAAAGAGAGGGGAAGCAAAGAAAACTGCCATTCTTTCAGCTTCTAGTCACTCGTTTTGAATTGGATCATCCATAGTGTCACTAGGTTTGGTGGTACTTGTGGAATACACAGGGTAGGCTCCAACCTTCCAAACCGTCCTAGGAAAAAAGCCCAGACGAATGCTCAAGCCTAAACCCAATCCACTTCCAAGCGTTTCTAAACAGCCTTCTTAGCTCCTTCCTCTTCTCCTAGGTTGATTGACGGGACCTCAATAATGGTCACACAAACAATACACTGCTAGGATGCGTAGCAAACCATGACTTGAAGGTTATGCAAGTTTGTCGTATACATTCGCTGCTCAAACGGTGGCATTATTTCGCAATGACATTCCTACTTTGCAAAACATTCGGTCACTAATTGAAGCGGTGTTCGGGATAGTTAAATAGCCTATAGCCATAGTTCCCAACAATGGGCAATCCATTCTACCACCAGAGAAGTAGGGCAGTTGTGACATCACATGCACAAACATGCGTGAGCAAAACCGAAACCGAACCGGTTCGATTCGAACAGGTTGAATCAGGAGCTCTTATCGAATGGAGCCCGTACGGTTCGGATCATACCGAGCCAGTAAAGTCAAGACCTCAAGGACGCACCGAAGGACAAGGGTCCATTAAAGCAGTGCAGTTCGGGTCGATACTAAGTATGTGTGAACTCAAGTATTAAAATGCCCAAAACTAGTAGGAAGCACTTGTGGCTAGGATTGAGCATATTGGCGAACACCTGTTCGGGTCGAACATGTTTGTGTTCGGTTTGTCGCGGCTAGCCGAGCCGCGTCGAACACAAACACGTTCGTGTTCGTTTTCCAGCAGCGACAAACACAAATCTGCTCAACGCGAATGTCATGTGACCCAAGTATTTAGGTTAGTCAAACGAATGCGCCAAGCCAAGTGCCATTTTCGCCGTCGGATCCTCGCGGATCTCCTGTTTTGCCCTCAGATCCCCACATGTACTGGCAATTGCATAAATGAAGCTGGTGGCGGCACCAGCTTACAGGGGTGGGTGTAGGAACGGGTGCCCCGATTTGAGTTTTATTCGAAACCAATGTCAATGTAAAAACCCATTTTGCCAGGAAACCCATACTCCAACAGTGGACCCGCGACGGATGGCAAAAAAATAGAGGATGCTTGCCTCGAACATAGTTGAGGTTTGGTACTGTGCTCATGTTTTACTACAACCCAACTAACAAAAACTTGGCAGGCACTGACCCCCACAACAAGGACACAAGTGAATATTTGAGCAAAGCGCAGTGGGCATCCACGGGGCCAAGGTGCGGTAGATAACGTTAAGGAGAGAAAGTGGCTAGTTGCATGAGCACAATGGTGAGCCCTCACCGGGCATGGTTGGTCGTCCCAGTCGTTGGCGTGAGAGGCGGCGTCCTCCCTGGTTGGGCTGGACTGGCCCAGCTGGTGCTCGAGCTGGTCCAGGGCGTCTGAGAACTTGAGGTGCGAGTGAGCGGCAGATGCGCGTGGAGTGCCGTGCTGTGCCCCCAGTAAGGCCACTCGCCGCATCTCCCACGAGCAGTCACTAGTGGCTCGCGCCAACGGGGGAGGTCGCCCAAGCAGCCCTCCACCAGCCAGCCCACCAGCACTGCTGCTGCCGCCATCGCTTGCCCTGCCACCCGCCCACCCCACGCCTGCCTCTGCCCCTCCCCCCTTGCTGCCCCCCACCGACCCGTCCTCTGCTGCCGCCTGTGTGCGCGGGGGCACGTGCTGCCGCAGCCTCAGCGCTGCCAGCCCATGCAGGCCCTTCTCCCCCTCCTCAAACCGCACACGCCGCCTTGCCTTGCCCGCTGCCACCCCTGCTGCTGCCACCTCCCCCCTCAACTCCGCCCCACTGCTCTCCGCACCACCCCCACATGCACCCTGTGCTTCCCCCCCAATCACCGGCATCGGTGCCACCACATCCCGCAACTCGCTCTCCTCCACCCCTTCCTCCTCCTCCTCCCCCACTGCAACCACCCCTTCCTTCTCCTCCTCCCTCTCCACCACCCCCTCTGTGACCCCACCCTCGACTTCTGCTGCCCCCGTTGCCGCATTTCCCTCGGCTGATAACCCTTGGAAGCTCCATACCTGTTTTGTGAAAGAGAGGGGAAGCAAAGAAAACTGCCATTCTTTCAGCTTCTAGTCACTCGTTTTGAATTGGATCATCCATAGTGTCACTAGGTTTGGTGGTACTTGTGGAATACACAGGGTAGGCTCCAACCTTCCAAACCGTCCTAGGAAAAAAGCCCAGACGAATGCTCAAGCCTAAACCCAATCCACTTCCAAGCGTTTCTAAACAGCCTTCTTAGCTCCTTCCTCTTCTCCTAGGTTGATTGACGGGACCTCAATAATGGTCACACAAACAATACACTGCTAGGATGCGTAGCAAACCATGACTTGAAGGTTATGCAAGTTTGTCGTATACATTCGCTGCTCAAACGGTGGCATTATTTCGCAATGACATTCCTACTTTGCAAAACATTCGGTCACTAATTGAAGCGGTGTTCGGGATAGTTAAATAGCCTATAGCCATAGTTCCCAACAATGGGCAATCCATTCTACCACCAGAGAAGTAGGGCAGTTGTGACATCACATGCACAAACATGCGTGAGCAAAACCGAAACCGAACCGGTTCGATTCGAACAGGTTGAATCAGGAGCTCTTATCGAATGGAGCCCGTACGGTTCGGATCATACCGAGCCAGTAAAGTCAAGACCTCAAGGACGCACCGAAGGACAAGGGTCCATTAAAGCAGTGCAGTTCGGGTCGATACTAAGTATGTGTGAACTCAAGTATTAAAATGCCCAAAACTAGTAGGAAGCACTTGTGGCTAGGATTGAGCATATTGGCGAACACCTGTTCGGGTCGAACATGTTTGTGTTCGGTTTGTCGCGGCTAGCCGAGCCGCGTCGAACACAAACACGTTCGTGTTCGTTTTCCAGCAGCGACAAACACAAATCTGCTCAACGCGAATGTCATGTGACCCAAGTATTTAGGTTAGTCAAACGAATGCGCCAAGCCAAGTGCCATTTTCGCCGTCGGATCCTCGCGGATCTCCTGTTTTGCCCTCAGATCCCCACATGTACTGGCAATTGCATAAATGAAGCTGGTGGCGGCACCAGCTTACAGGGGTGGGTGTAGGAACGGGTGCCCCGATTTGAGTTTTATTCGAAACCAATGTCAATGTAAAAACCCATTTTGCCAGGAAACCCATACTCCAACAGTGGACCCGCGACGGATGGCAAAAAAATAGAGGATGCTTGCCTCGAACATAGTTGAGGTTTGGTACTGTGCTCATGTTTTACTACAACCCAACTAACAAAAACTTGGCAGGCACTGACCCCCACAACAAGGACACAAGTGAATATTTGAGCAAAGCGCAGTGGGCATCCACGGGGCCAAGGTGCGGTAGATAACGTTAAGGAGAGAAAGTGGCTAGTTGCATGAGCACAATGGTGAGCCCTCACCGGGCATGGTTGGTCGTCCCAGTCGTTGGCGTGAGAGGCGGCGTCCTCCCTGGTTGGGCTGGACTGGCCCAGCTGGTGCTCGAGCTGGTCCAGGGCGTCTGAGAACTTGAGGTGCGAGTGAGCGGCAGATGCGCGTGGAGTGCCGTGCTGTGCCCCCAGTAAGGCCACTCGCCGCATCTCCCACGAGCAGTCACTAGTGGCTCGCGCCAACGGGGGAGGTCGCCCAAGCAGCCCTCCACCAGCCAGCCCACCAGCACTGCTGCTGCCGCCATCGCTTGCCCTGCCACCCGCCCACCCCACGCCTGCCTCTGCCCCTCCCCCCTTGCTGCCCCCCACCGATCCGTCCTCTGCTGCCGCCTGTGTGCGCGGGGGCACGTGCTGCCGCAGCCTCAGCGCTGCCAGCCCATGCAGGCCCTTCTCCCCCTCCTCAAACCGCACACGCCGCCTTGCCTTGCCCGCTGCCACCCCTGCTGCTGCCACCTCCCCCCTCAACTCCGCCCCACTGCTCTCCGCACCACCCCCACATGCACCCTGTGCTCCCCTGCCAATCACCGGCATCGGTGCCACCACATCCCGCAACTCGCACTCCTCCACCCCTTCCTCCTCCTCCTCCCCCACTGCAACCACCTCTTCCTTCTCCTCCTCCTCCTTCCTCCCTACCACCTCCTCTGTGCCCCCACCCTCGCCTCCCTCTGCCCCCACTGCCGCCTTTCCGTCTGCTGGTGGCCCTTGGGAGCTCCACACCTGCTGCAGGGAGGGGAGGAGAGGCAAAGTTATAAAAGCTGACAAATATTTAGCCTATTGTCACCCTTCATAAAAATGGAGTAGGCCTGATTCAGCATATGCATAAACCACGCACCCATCAGGATGAGAAGATTAGCGATAGCGTGCAAACAGAGATGAGCATGGTGCCGACCTCACTTCGATTCGACACAAACAGGCCCGTTCTGAACCCTAAACCCTAAACCCTAAACCCTATATATATATATACCTCTGCAACGAGACGAGTTACTCGCTCGGTATCGCCCGAGTTACTCGTTTGGGTGCGAGTAACGAGTTTCGGTTTTTGTAAATTTTACTCGTACGAGTAGAGGCGAGTTTTACTCGCCGAGTTTTTTTTGCTCGACGAGTACTCGGGCACTATTTCGCCCGCCGATCCGCGCAGATCGGCGATTTCGCCCGTCGATCCGCGCAAAACAGCGATTTCGCCCGTCGATCCGCGCAGATCGGCGATTTCGCCAGCCGATCTGCGCGGATCGGCGATTTCGACCGCCGATCCGCGCAGATCGGCGATTTCGCTGCGCAGATCGGCAATGTCCGCCACATGTCATGTCAATCGATATGCTCAGATAAGATCTTGCTTTGGTCGAGCCCAACTACAGTAATTCGGCGGGCGAAATATTGCTTCCCCGACTACTGTAATTCGCCGACAATTTTCCGCCTTGAGTTCCCAACCAATTCGCCACCACTTACCTCTGTTCACCGCACTGAATCTACAAAAATCCCAACCACCCGTTCCAATTTCAGATCTCGTCACAACACAACCCCCTCCCTTCCCCGCTAGTCTACTCCGATATTCCCTAATTAGCTAGCTGGACGCGTCCGTGGTAATTGTGAGGACCCCTGATTTTGCAGTTACAGGGCAGCGGGGCGAGCATTACTCGAACTCGGACGAGCACTCAGAACTGCTCGTCCGAGTTTATAAAAATACGGCGAGCAACGAGTATGCCACATAGCAAAAAATGCTCGTCCGAGTTTTACTCGACTCGGGTCAATGCTCGGACGAGTTTGACCCCAGACGAGTCGAGTTTTGCTCGACTCGTCACTTTGCACAGGTATATATATATATATATATATGTATATCTATAAATGAATACATAGATGTATACATAGATGTATACATGGATGTATACATAGATGTATATATAGATATAATTAAATGGTTCGGCTGGAACCAACTGCAGCTCGAGTCAACCAGCCGGTTCGGTTGAACTAAATTGGCCTGAGGCGCATCGAATCGAGCCACGACTGGGTCGTACCTAGATTTTCTTATCTCCACGGCCCCTCTCCCAGTATCATGAAAAAAAAAAAAAAAAAAAAAAATCACACACACACACACACACACACACACACACACACACACACACACACACACACACACACACACACCCACACAAACAGATATGATTTTATCAAACCTTGATGCCGAACTGAACCAGGTCCAGTTAAAGTTCAAACAAGCCCACTTGGACTGGAAGAAGTTACACCACAACTGTGAAACCTCAAGCTCTTGATTCTTCGATTCGGTTCTGCTTGAAAAGAACCGGTTTGCTTCAAATAGCCGGATTGGATTGAGTTGTTCCTCATGTCTACGTGCGAGCACTTATGTGCTGCTCGCCCCAGACCTTGAACTTGAAACGCTATACGACTCAAATCAAACACCCTTGGTTTCTAATATACTCCTCCTCCCTCAATCATATACTGACAATATTATTGGCTCCCTCCTCCTTGAACTTTCTTCTTCTCCTTAGCACAACTCATCTCCCAGATTGAAAGTACCACAGATAGGGTCACCCAACCCGCTTCCAAGATGAGTAGCAAACCATAACCAACCATGACATGAGGTCATGGTTTGCCACTTGTGTTCGCAGCTAGTTGGGTGACCCTGATTGTCGTAATTTCAACATAGGAGATGAGTTGTGCTTGGAAGAAGAGATGTGAGCGAGGAAGGAGCTAAGACTTCTGTCCAGGAATGATTGAAAGAAAAAGCGGATAGCGACTGATTTAGGACGATAAGGTTAAAGGATTTAAGGTTTAGGGCGAGCACCACGAAAGTAATGCCAGAAGGACAAAGATGAATGCTTGAGCAGAAAGCAGTGGGCATGTATGGGTTCGAATCTCGACCACGTTTTGGTCGAAACGGCTCAAGTTCGGTTCGACCAAGCCTTCAATTACGGTTTTGAACACGTACCACCCAACATTTTGAAGGGGCAAGGTGGGGCAGATAATGATTAGGAGAGAGTGAGTGGTTTGTTGCCTAAGCATAGTGGTGAGGCTCACCGGGCATGGTTGGTCGTCCCAGTCGTTGGCGTGAGAGGCGGCGTCCTCCCTGGTTGGGCTGGACTGGCCCAGCTGGTGCTCGAGCTGGTCCAGGGCGTCTGAGAACTTGAGGTGCGAGTGAGCGGCAGATGCGCGTGGAGTGCCGTGCTGTGCCCCCAGTAAGGCCACTCGCCGCATCTCCCACGAGCAGTCACTAGTGGCTCGCGCCAACGGGGGAGGTCGCCCAAGCAGCCCTCCACCAGCCAGCCCACCAGCACTGCTGCTGCCGCCATCGCTTGCCCTGCCACCCGCCCACCCCACGCCTGCCTCTGCCCCTCCCCCCTTGCTGCCCCCCACCGACCCGTCCTCTGCTGCCGCCTGTGTGCGCGGGGGCACGTGCTGCCGCAGCCTCAGCGCTGCCAGCCCATGCAGGCCCTTCTCCCCCTCCTCAAACCGCACACGCCGCCTTGCCTTGCCCGCTGCCACCCCTGCTGCTGCCACCTCCCCCCTCAACTCCGCCCCACTGCTCTCCGCACCACCCCCACATGCACCCTGTGCTTCCCCCCCAATCACCGGCATCGGTGCCACCACATCCCGCAACTCGCTCTCCTCCACCCCTTCCTCCTCCTCCTCCTCTCTCCCCGCCACCTCCTCTGTGCCCCCACCTTGTACTTTCTCAGTCTTACCAAGGTTCAGCGGGAAGCTATCAACACCGTTTCTTCCCTCCCCCATCGTAATTACTACATCTTCCTGTGCAGCTCCGCCCGTTCTCCCACCTTTAACCGCCTCCCCTTCCGCCCCCTCTTTCGCCAACGCCTCGCTCCCGTCCGTCCCACGCTCGCCGTCCCCGTCCATACCACTCACCGCCGCTGCCTTCGTGGGCCCCCCTTTCTCACCTCTCCTGCCTCTGTCGCTCGCTCAGCACTCGCAGTCCTACTTCTTGTGCTGCTCCCGGTCCGTGTGCCGAGACCGCGGGTTTGCTTCTGGTGCTCGTCGCTTTGTCAGGGTCAACTGTGGGAGCTTTCGCTACCGTCGCTGCCTCTGACACTGTCGAAACTGCGGCGAGAGGAGGATTCGTTGAGCGATCTTGCGCTTTGAGGACGGCCCTAGGTTTGCTGATGTGGTGCACAAGTTAGTAGCCGAGTTAGTAGCTGGTTCGCCGAGTCCGCTTACGCTTTCTAAGGTTGTCTCACCGTTTTTCGCTTTGGTGTGTGTGAGTCGGGACAATCATTCTCAAGCGAGTCGCACGAATGTCGAATCCGAAGCACTCCGGTTGCTTTACGAAAGCGAGCTCTTTTCTGGGTCCCCTAGCTTCCACCTATTCCTAGTCGCGACGAACGACAAGATAAGCACGTGCGCTGCGCTAGTCCTCCGGTCCGGGCCACTAAGTTACCATATACTAAACGTACTAACCATTCCTTGTTTGGTTTGTCCTGGTATCTCGTTCTACGATGCAGCTGTCTCTTCCATTTGTCTCAAGATACGTGCACTGTAATGTAAAATTTAGTAGTTGAGTGACTGTACCAGAGCCGCGTGTCTCTCACCTTGCCATCATGGCTGTAATGTGTACTTTTGTGGATTGATGCCTGCTGACCAGGCATCAAGAAACTTCAGGATTTTTTTGGAAATGTTTTCTCCCGTTTACCCTATCGAATCCAGGTTTTTTTTCAGGGATAGCTTTTCGGGAAAATATGTCAATGGTAACTTACATGGGGCACTATAACGCGTACGGTAACGATTTCAACGCTTTTGGTAACTCGATTAACGCGTTTGGTAACTCGCTTAACGCATATGGTAACTTATATCTGTGTTTTCACGCATTTGGTAACTCGCATCACGCATTTGGTAACTCAACACAGGCGAGTGATCACGCGAATGGTAACTACATGAAACTCCCGCCGAAATGATCCTGACAACGAGGAATTTATCGAGTTTGAAAGCTTTTACGCACAGTTTTTATCTTTCTTGAACAAGTCCCGCCGCGACTTTGAAGGGCCCCGTTTGTTCTATTACCTATGACCGAAAAGTTTCAGAGCCGTTTAATATATATATGTAGTTTCAGAACGGTTAAAACCATATTTTTTATAGCATGATTGTGAACTTGTAAAATGATTAAAAAAAAAATCCCGAAAGGACATCGGGGCTTTTACTTTTTGTAATTACTGCAACGTTGGAGAATTTTTTCATGTGGGAAAAATACACTAAGAATTACATGTTTCATTCTTTAAAATAAGAACCATAAACGCCTTGTCGCAATGAGTTTAGGGTTGATGCTCTCAAATTCATTTGCTATGTGAAAGGGGTATAGATTTGTTTGCCCCGGCTGCACGATAGAATGAAGTACAAACAGTTTGCGGAAAGAGCGCCATAACATCAGTTATGTATGAACAGTTGTTTTCACAACACTTACGTTTTTTCAATTAGCTTGAAAATCAGAAAGTGTGTCAGAATTTCGGAAAGTGTGTCAAATTTTCGGAAAACTGTGTCATAATTTCGGAGAGTGTGTCAGAGGTTTCTGCTTCAAGATTCGTCAATTTAGTCTGACGCGAGCGGGAAAAACCAGAATCAGGGTCATTTTTGTCAGATTTATATGACAGAGCTACTGTAGGCTATAGTGGGGTAGCACATATGGGGTACAGTTTTCTAGGGTTTGCATTTTGTACCCAACTTTCCCTTAGTCATTTTCATTCCTCGTTTCTTCTCATGGTATCGAGCAGGTTCCCTAGTGGGAACGATTCCTAGGGCCCACCACCACGAAATTTTTTTTTCCTGCCCGGAGCGCGCTTCGCTCAGGCCCGAGTCGCGCCCTGTGTGCTCTCCCTACCGTCGCGCCCTCGCTAGGCCCCTCACGGCCCCGTCGCGTCGCCCTTAGCGGCCCACTCACGGCTCGTCGCGCCGCCCCCTACGGCCCTTCGCGCCGCCCTTACGGCCCTTTGTGCCGCCCTTACGGCCCGTCGCGCCCGTCGCGCCGCCCTTACGGCCCCTCGTGCCGCCCCTTACGGCCCCTCGCGCCGTCCCTTACGGCCCCTCGCGCGGCCCCTTACGCCCCTTACGGCCCCTCCCGCGGCCCCTCACGGCCCCCTACGGCTCGTCGCCGCCCTCCGCGGCCCCGCCACCTACCTGTGCGGCCCCGCCACCTACCTGTGCGGCCCCGCCACCTACCTGCGGCCCCGCCACCTACCTGCGGCCCCGCCACCTACCAGCGGCCCCGCCACCTACCCGCGGCCCCGCCACCTACCTGTGCTGGCCCCGCCACCTACCTGCGGCCCCGCCACCGACCAGCGGCCCCGCCACCTACCTGCGGCCCCGCCACCTACTAGCGGCCCCGCCACCTACCTGCGGCCCCGCCGCCTCCTCTCAGCGGCCTCGCCGCCTCCTCCCAGTGGCCCCGGACGCCGCCCTCTCAGCGGCCCCGCCGCGCCGCCAAGCAGCCGAGCCGCCCAGCAGCCGAGCCGCCCAGCAGCCGAGCTGCCCAGAAGCCGAGCCGCCGAGCCGCCCAGCAGCCGAGCCGCCGAGCCGCCCAGCAGCCGAGCCGCCGAGCCGCCCTGCAGCCGAGCCGCCGAGCCGCCCAGCAGCCGAGCCGCCGAGCCGCCCTGCAGCCGAGCCACCCGAGCCGCCCTGTCCGGTAAGAGCAGCGCCTCTTTCACAGCACTGCCCTCACCCTACTGTTTGCGCTGCTAGTCTACTGCTGTCATGGCTACCCCTAGTGTCCTCGCTTTTGACGCTGAGGGTCGGGCCATTGACTTTGACGTCTGGATAGATGACCTGCAGCTTTTCTTACAGTGCGACAGAGCAGACGGCCTCTCCCTCTTTGACCTCACTTCTGGTGCCTCCCCTGCCCCCGCTGCTGATGCTGACGCCACTGTTCGCTCACAGTGGGCCACGCGCGATGCTGCTGCACGTCTTGCTGTGCGTCGCCACCTGCCTACCTCTGAGCGTGCGCACTTTAGCCAGTACAAGAGTGCTCACACCTTGTACGACGCTGTAGTTGCGCGCTACTCCTCCCCTGCCACTGCTGCACTGAGCCGCCTCATGCTACCGTACCTCTTCCCTGACCTTGCTGCCTTTCCCACAGTCGCTGACCTCATTACGCACCTCCGCACTAGTGACACTCGCTACCGCGCTGCGCTTCCTGCTGAGTTCTGCGCCAAGAACCCCCCCCCCCATGTACATCACCCTCTACTACATAGTCACCCGGCTCCCTGACTCCCTTCGCGTAGTCAGGGACCACTTCCTCTCTGTTTGCCCCACCACTCTCACCGTTGACCTCCTCGAGAAGTCCCTCCTAGCAGCAGAGAAGAGCATAGTCGCTGTAGGAGCCTCTCGTGGTGACCCTCGCACCCCCATCTTTGAGGGGTGTTCCCCCTCCCCCCTTTTGCCCTCTGTTGCCTCTGCTGCTGTGGCCGACCTCGTTGGGCTTGAGTCGGTCGGTGCGGCGTCTACCCCTAGCGGGAGACGCCGCCCTAGCAAGGGCAAGGGGGGCAGGGGCACTGGAGGAGCTAGCGGGGGCGGTGGAGGCGGCGGTGGAGGCAGTGGAGGGGGTGGGGGTGGCGGTGGGGGTGGTGGTGGAGGTGGAGGTGTCGGTGGCGGCGGTGGAGGCGGAGGCGGCGGCGGCGGTGGCGGTGGGAGCGGAGGTAGCGGCGGTGGAGGAGGCGGCGGCGGAGGAGGTGGAGCTGGTCGGGGTGGCGCTGCGCAGAGGGTCGGCTCCGGTGGTGGTCAGCGCCAGCAGCAGCAGCAGCAGCAGCAGCGCACTCGTGACATCCCCCCCCCTCAGCAGCTCCGTGAGTGGTACGCTGCACGCCAGCGGGGTGGGGGTACTGGTCCGTGCACCTACGTCCTCCGCACCGGCGACCGCGCGGGTGACCAGTGCGGGGGTGCGCACTCCACCCAGCGCTGCTTTGGCCGCCTGACGGACGCTTGGCGTCACCAGTTCCCTGAGGCCACTGAGATCCCCCGCTGGGGTGAGCTGTCTAGGGCGGGTGTCGCTGTCTTTGACCTTGACTTTGATGCTATTCTTGCTGCTATGTATACTGTGACTATTAGTGATGAGGGTGACTGTTACCGGTGTTTTCCGCCCGACCCGGGCATTGAGACTGCTGCTCTAGGTACTGGTGAGGCTGCTGCTCTAGGTGCTAGCGAGGCTGCTGCTCTAGGTGCGTCTGCTCCCTCAGGTGCTGGTGAGTCTGCTCTCTCAGGTTCTGCGTCGGCTTCGGCCTCCCACACCTTCACCCTTGACTCGGGGGCTTCTCGCTCCTTCTTTCGAGACCGCACCACACTCACGCCGCTTGGCCGGCCAGTTGCGGTCTCTCTGGCAGACCCCTCTGGGGGTCCTGTCCTTGCTCACTTCTCCACTGTCCTCCCGTGTCCGGCGGCCCCCTCTGGCACCCTGTCTGGTCTTTACCTCCCCTCGTTCTCTACGAACTTGGTGAGTGGTGCTGACCTACAGGATGCGGGGGTTCACCAGTTCACTCCTGCGAGTCAGCGGGTGACCCACTGCACGGACGCTCGGACTGGCCGACACCTGGCCACGTTTACCCGTCGGCCGGGGTCGAGCCTGTACACCCTGACCACTGCGTCTCCTCCAGTCACTGCGTCTGGTCAGGTAGCTGCGTCGGGTCAGGTGTTTGCTGCAGCGTCCAGGTCTGGTCCTGAGTCTGCCCCCTGTTCGTGTCGCCTCCTGTCTCACGAGACTCTCCTCTGGCACCACCGCCTTGGTCACCCCTCCCTGCTTCGTCTCCGAGGCATGGCCTCCCGTGTCCTTGTCTCTGGTCTTCCCCGGTCCCTCCCTCCCCTTCCTCCGGGGCCTGGCCCTACCTGCGTCCCCTGTGTCGAGGGGCGGCAGCGGGCTGCCCCTC